TTGAGGGCTCACATAAGGTGTTTGAGGCAATACTGGCAGCTAATGACAAGACAGTGGGAGGGCTCATCTTCGAGATTAGTCCACTGTTACAGTGTTGGAGGATAGGAGTTACGTCTCGCGTGAAGCTCCAAGGTTACATGTTGAATTTACCATACCTTTGTAGCACTCTTCGGATATTGGCCTTCTTGGAAAAAAATGGAATTGCAAATTTAACAATTTTGTAGTTAAAAAAGTGCCCGACGACGTGCTTCAATATAGATTTTACAATAAAAGAATACTAATTTAACCACCCCCGTGGTTAAATTAGTGTGTCACTTTTGTAAAATGTGCATTTGATGCATGTCGGGAATATTTTTTAATAATTTAACTGTTGAATCCGCCATCCATTTTCTCATGTGTTTATGTATACCTACGCTCTATGACAATTTTTGTCCAAATCGCCATACAGGGTCATTCCTTGTCAACTCAACTAGGCCCGGTATGCCCGATCCCTTTCGATTCGGCTGAAAATTGGTCTACGGGGTCCTTAAACCATTCTGAGAGACTAATTTGAAGCGTTATTGCTCATATCTAACGCACCGTTCGCGAGATATCGACCCCCAAGGATGGGGTGAATTTTAGCGATATTCAAAAAAGCCCGTTTTAGCGATTCTCATTTTCTCAACTTCCTTCTCTTTGACTCTCTATGGCGAGACTCCGTATCAATCCTTAATACTTACCTACAAACAGCGTTTTTAGATCAACTTTGTATGTGAATTCTAAATATGCCATCGAAATTGAGCTAATAATTATTTAAATGGCCGTAATTTAATTAATTTACTTAATGCTACGGAGAGAAAGATTTTCCCTCTGGAACAATAAGCTACTGTATGGGAGGAAAATGCTTTTTCACCCGACCCATTAGTTAGTGCATGGGCGAGAAATGTCTTCTCTCCGGAGCAAATAATTAGTGTACGGGATAGAAATGTCTCCTCTCCTGAGCAATTGGTGAATGCTGCGGAGAGAAATATTCTCTCTCCTGAGCAATTAGTTATAGTGTTCCGGGGAGAAATATTTTCTCTCCGGAACAAAATGTTACAGTATTGGCGAGAAATGTTTTCTCTCCAATAATGGAACTCGGTGGTTTTGGCATTTAATTTTTCCCAAGTGTAACCCTTTATTGTTCATCAGGTCTTCTATGGAAATGAGAGTCCTGAAAGCGCGAAGCTCACCTCGCCCTGGCGAGAGCAAACAATTGCCACGCTTTCTTAACTGGGTTTTTCGTGGAGAGAGTGCCAGCATCGGGACCGGTGGCGTGGCGTGCTTTGCGATATATCGATTGTTATGCCATTTAAACCTATGGAAAAGGATCGATAAACAGGGTGTTCGCAGCAAACACCTTAATAATCGATTCTTTACCATAGGTTTAAATTACGTATCAATCGATATATCGCAAAGCACGCCACGCCACTGGTCGGGACTCGGAGCGCAAGCAATATGCTGAAAAGTTGGAACTGGGGCTCCCGTAATGGGCTACTCAGTCACTTTTGACAGGCTTGTCCCAGACTGAATCGATACACTACGTTTTGATCGCCGCAGGGATACACGGATTCAAGACAGCCACTTAGCCCCCCTCCCTCCATTTTCCTCTACAACATTTACAAGTTACCTCGATAAACTCCCTTTCGACGTAGTGGGTGTCTCGGTAAATAGATCCCTATTTTCCTCCCTCTTTTCGTAGAGAAAGCGCATGTTCATGCATTACTAAATAGGAATCAGCGTGCCACCACCGTGTTGGCTTCCATGAAAGGGGGTTAGTGATCTAGCTGAGTGCGAACTTTCCCGTCCCCGGGAAAGTTCCCGGGAACGGGAAAGTAGAACCGAGAACCTTTGACAGAAAAATACGCATCGTCATCTACCGGCCGAAGTATCACAAGCGCCATGCGATTTTTAAAAATTTCCGCCGCCATTTTTTTTTCATTTTTTTTTACAGAGAAATCGGTCGACGAAGCTGTCGAAAATTTCACTGAATTTTCTCTGTGCTGCCGATAAAACTCGATGAAATTTTCATTTTCAAATTCAACCAACGATTTCTCTGGAAAAAAATAAAATGGCGGCGGAATATTTAAACGTCGAATAACGCTTGTGATACTTTAGCCGACACGAGGACATTAGAGGGCATTTTCCGTCGAAATCCTAAAATTCAATATTTCGACATAACTCGACAAGTCAAGAGGCGCATACTGTAAAGTTTCCCTTCGCGGGCTAAGGTTTCTTTTTGTGTGCCGTCATCATAATTGAAAATCATCGATATCTCTTCTGGAATTTACAAAACAACATTTCCTGGCAGAATACGATAATACCTTTGCTGAATAGGTACACATACATTATGAGGCCTCGTGTCCTCAATCCTTTACTTCTGCGAATTTGCTACCACTTATTTGAGACTATAGCACTACTCATATGAGACTACTCATTGTGTAAATAACTAAAACTTTAGTTTCTCCCCAAACGTCTGAGGAAACCCCTGGTAAAAAATGGCAGTAGAATCTGTGTTCCAAAATACCATAGACCCACAGCCGACTGTAAGATTTCCAATAGCTTCTATAGCCGGCAACACAATTTCTTATAGCCTTTTGTAGCCGATGGCGACTAAGCACAGCCTGACGATAAAGTGTATGCTATCCGTTACTAATTACGGATGCTAGGACTTAGTGAGTTTTTGGACTACCGATCTCTTTTTGGGCCGTAGTATCTTGATTTATTTTGCGAGGGAAGCTCCGTACTTTTAAAGGATGCCTGTCATTCCTAATATGTTGGAGCGCCTTCAATTTCGTACGATACTCCGCAATACCTCTGGTGTGAAATAGTTGCCTCAAGCGTCGTGGTACGCTGCGGCGCAGCGCGGCGGGCGGGCAGCCAGCACGAAACGCGCATTGGCGCCTACAAACCTAACAGGGATACTTCACGCATTGCGCAGTGCGTGAAGTATCTCTGTTAGGTTTGTAGGCGCTAGTGCGCGGTCGCTCCGCTTTGTGTTAGGCTCTAATATTTAATATCGTGGAGTCAGCGTTGTTCAACTCATGATTTTGAAATGTTTGCACACTCTGTATGGACTATTCTCATTTTAATTGATGAAAAAAAGATATGTTTTAAAGGAAAATATAATGTGTGTTTTGTAATTATAAAGGTAGTTCCGTATTAAACTTAATGATTTCCAAAGCACACGAATTTCTACACAATTTCTTATAGCCTTCTATAGCCGATGGCGAAAAAGCAACAGCCAGGCGATAAAGTGTAAAGCCTGGAGACAGGAACTATATCCCGGCTGTTTAATTTTTCATGGCTTCGTGTAGCCCGACCGTACGATTTTTTCCACTTTCTACAGCCAGCTATATGATTTTCTATCGCCTTCTTCAATCGGCTATAATAACTCCTATGGTATTTTGAAACGCAGCTCCTATCGCCAATTTTTACCAGGAACATTTACACAGCTGAAATTTACATTTCTGTTGCTTTAAACGTTATCTATTCCCACCAAAAACCAGGGTAATTTAAGATTTAAAATAGTTAACAGAGTTCATCCTTACCAAACTTGAAAGGTTTGTATGGTGACTTTTTTGGTCATTATAGTTCAAGGTTGCCAGATTGTGGTAAAATGTGGATATATTTAATATGCGTTTNTATATCGTAACTACTACAAGTGTTTCTTGTATCTATCTACGTGGCTTAAAACTAAAACTTAACAAACTGCATTAATTTTATATGTTAACGTTAGATAATACTATGATATATTTAATATGCGTTTAAATTGGGGATAAGTGCTAAAAATCAGCACTTTCTGGCTACAGAGCCATAGTTTACATACAAGCTGTTACTGGATGCTGCAATGATAAACCTAAGCAGAGTTTGAATCAGTTCTTCTTCGTTTTTTTTCCCATGGCGATAAAATTCAGAGGAAATCAATTTAAACCTCTTAGGGACCCACGCGCGACCGCCGGCCCCGTAAGAAGGGATTTTTCCAATTCGGTCTCGAACCAATCCGGCTTACGATTTCCGCATTCTCGGGGACAAGATTTATTTGGACCGAGTTTAGAAAAGAGGAACGAAGCCAAGTCACCCGTTGCCAAATTTAATTGGGCAATTTAATTTTTTACAAGAGAACGTTTGTGCGGATTCCTCAGAAAATTTGAGCGAATTTGCTTCCTGATATGCAGAAAATTCACTGAAATTTGCTCAAAAATCCACAGAACCGTTTTCATGTAAAAAATACAATCATACAATTAAATTTGGCAATAACTGATGTGGCTTCGCTCCTTTCAGCTTAGCGCGGTCCATTTAGGATGCGCTGGTGAGTGAGTCGAGCTACTCAAAGAAAATCAGCATTTCGTAATGGGGTTGCAGAATTTTTTTTTTTTTTTTTTTTTTTTTTTTTTTTTTTTTTTTTTTTTTNTTTTTTTTTTTTTTTTTTACCTATTATAATTTAAGAACGCCCATCACGGTGTTTGCCGATAGTTTGTCAAACCGGATCTTGTTTGCGCGACAAACACGTGACTTGTCAATCGTCATGAGCGAGGATCAGTGTTGACTCTCGGAGATTTTATATTTAGAGGTCAATAGTGAAGGGTCTCATTTGGTCCATAGTTAAGTCTTATTTCGAGGTTCGGAACTAGCTATTAGGTATATAGCCGGCTTCAGCGGACTGGACTTTATTTTGATCAAAATGGTTTATTATTGTAATGTTGTTACATGACAAGTAAAATATTTTTAAGACCTGTAAAATCTGAAAATAGGATGTAATATATTTATACTTCTATTACGAATGAAAAAAAAAAAAACTTTTGCTCCGAACGGCTCTGAGAAAGTTAGGCCATCGATGATCATCGAAATCCATCGACCCGACAGCTAGACCTAGGCTGATGATCGGCGAGACTGATGAGCCAGACAGGGCCTCTGCGCGGACTTGGAAATAAAATTCGCCGAAAGGGCGGTCAGAGGAGGGAACCAAAAAGGGGGTTTACCTGGAGGGCGGTCGGCAGGCCATTAGCCGGTGACCAGCGAGGGCAAGGATCGTAAACAAACCGCGACGGGAAATCAGCGCGAGGGTGGCGCGGTGTGCATGGTGGCGGGCGGTGAAGAAACGGATATACACAGGACTCGCGACCGGACGCAACGGGTATCTTGGCCGAGGACTCGGCTACTAGAGCTTCACCGCCGGGTCCGCAGTTCGTTCCGCGCAAAGAGCATGGCGCATGACGCGTAGCCCCCCCCCCCCCCCCCCCCCCCCCCCCCCCCCCCCCCCCCCCCCCCCCCCCCCCCCNGGGGGGGGGATTTGGTATGGGGATGAGGGAGATGGGTGAGGGCATGGACCAAATATGACGGAGCCAGGACTCGGCGAGGTTGACGCGATTCCTCCCCAGTGGAATTCAGCAGACCTAATTTTGAATTCAGCAGAAATAAAACCATGTCACATTTCGGGAAGAAAACTCGCTGGGAGCAGCTTTGAGTTTCGATAGCCACCCAGTGACTACACTGCCGTGCTAAGGGAAAACGCCGTATGAACATTCGAGAGTTGCCAAATTTCCTTCGATAAAATGTTCATTTTTTAGCAAGGTTACGAATATTTTTCCCTGTAATTTTCAGGAACTTTAAGTGAAATTGCGAACAACATTATCTGAAAAGAGGGAGGAAAAATATTCATAAGTTTACCAGAAAATTCGTGTTTTATAAATGGAAATTCGGCAACGCCTGAAGGTTCATACGGCGATTTTCCTTAGCACGGCAAAAGTCGTTCCCGCCCGGGCGAAGGGATGTAGCTCTATTCCGAGGTTGCAAAATTACTTCAAACGATTCGATTCTATACAAGAACGTGTCTTCGCGATATTTTTCCAAAATTTGTCTGATTTTTACATGAGATAAGAGGGAGAATCACTGAAATTTTCAATTTAAAACTCCTGAGATATTCCTGGTGAAAACGGAATTTGTGGGGGTAAATTTGGCAGCATTGAAATGAAGTGACGTTCTTCCGGAAACGACGATTTGATCCCGACAAAAATTTCAAGTGGAGCAAACAATTTCGATTGTGAAAACAGGTATTGAATGCTATCTACAACATTGACGCGAATAATCAACAGTCGGGGTGACAGACCTAAAACACACGTATCTCCGAAAACACGTATCTCTGAAAACACGTATCTCCGAAAACACGATTTTTCAGGAGAGTGAAGCAACTTTCTAACTTTCTTCCAGTTGGCAATGCAAACGTAAAATTTGGTGAAAATAGCAAGAGTAGATTAGTTCTTTTTTTTGTTTTTTGTTTTTGTTTTTTTGTTTGCAAAATAATATTACCAGTTACGAAGGTGCGATAGAAATACGGTAGAAATATGATACGTGTTCTCGGAACTGAGGACTGACATCCAGCATGGAGATACATGTCTCTGGCATCAGAGATTAAGACTTGTTCCTCCCTCCCATTTAAAACCATAATGATTATAGTCAAACAGTGAATAAAACATAGTAAATAAATCGACTTCGTGTTTCCGGAGTTGAAAAGTATGATGCGCCTTCACTTTAGCACGTATGCAATCTTTGAGCCTCGTCAGCTCTGGCGCTCTCGTCTCAGTAATTAAAGGCAAGTTTTTGCGGCATAGCTGTCTATAGAGACCCAGTAGACTCTCACTTGCATTCAAATTATTATTCAGTGATGTTTTACCCGCAGGGTTTGGAAAACGGATTGAAAATCGGATTTAGGGGAATAGTTACATTAAGGAGGCTGCAGCCTCTGGGGTGAATCCCGGGTGAGGAAGAAAATAAGTTTCCGAGGCTAGAAGAGGGAAAAGGAAAGTAGAGGGTCTACATTAAAAGGAGGTAGGTAACATGTAAATCTAGTTGGTCCGTTTAAGAGGCAAACCAGAATTGGCGGAAGTGAAAACTTGAAGTGGAAGTTGAAAACCGGATATGAAAAGTAAAAATCGGCAGTGCTGAGTGAAAACCGGAAATAGGAAAAAAACCGGAAGTAGGGAATGAACACTTGAATTTAAAGGTGAAAACCGGAAAGGAGAAGTGATAACTGGGGGTTGGAGGTGAAAACCCGAAGTGGAAAATGTAAACCGGAACTAGGAAGTAAAAACTCGAGGTGGAAGAGAAAACCGGAAGTGGACAGTAAAAACAGACAATGGAGAGAAAATCGGATGGGGAAAGTGAACACTGGAAGTTAAAGGTGGAAAAAGGAAATAGGAAGGGATTAGCGAAAGTGCAGGTGAAAATCAGAAGTGGGAAGCGAAAACCGGAAAAGGAAGAGAAAAGTGGAAGCTGAAAGTCAAGACCGGAAATAGGAAGTGAAAACCGGGAGCGGACGGTAAGCTCTTTTTCTGCGAGAACTAACGATTTTTGGAAGTAAAATAAAAGATCATCTTTCTCTGGTTTCGTTTAAGAAATCTATGAAGCTTCAAAATCTGCTTAGCAACACTCTAATGCATTGGATCGCTTCTACCAATTTTGATCCATTTAAGGCAAGATTTTTTTTTAACCGAGGGCAGCCCAAAAATTAAAAGCTCTCTGCTAACACACCATAATAATGCATTGACAAATATCTCTGACAAGGCCGTGATAGCCAAAAGTAACTTCCCGACTTGTTTCGGCCATCTCTTCAAAGTAGGTAAAATGGTTGGTACCTATACATTTAGCAGCCAACTCAAAATCGACAAAAATCTATAGATACCTACGTGTTTTTGATCTATCACTCGCGTAGTGTAACACGATAGATTAGAAAGCACGCGCGGTTGCTTCAGATAATATTTTGATGAGGTGTCGATGCATAAAAAACGCCTTCATCTTGAAAAGATACTTCCTAGCGTGGCCGCGGAAGCCGAATAGATGCATCATTTAAAAACCAACAGCGCACCGTTAGACAGTACATTACTTAGAAGGTAAATGCGGTTGTTTCGAATGATATTCTGAATTGGGAGAAGATACTTCCAGCTTGGTTGCGATTATTTCCAACAAAATTACGCTCCTGATGACAGCTTTTCCTATGAAGGGATGGCACTGACACAGTAGGAAGATGTCTTTAAGGGCAGGGCAGGATTTACCTACTTGCCGCCCATGGGCCGCCTGTATTTTGCCGCCCCTTCTCATTCGTTTTGAAACATCGATACAAACCATCAAGTGAACGTGCCGGAGGAGGAGGGGTGCATAAGGCGAGTTTACTCGTGTTTGGCACTTTTTTTTTGTGAAAGCTCTGTCAACATTAGCAAAATTTCACGGACCTTTGCGCTAACCGTAGGTTCCGTAAACCTATCTCTGTGTGGACAAGGCCTTTCATTTACAACAGATGAACTAAAAAATTATGGAAGAATAAACATGGATTAATAAGTTTAATTTCCGCCACCGCGCCGACCGCACTGTGTTGGGGGCATTACGTGAAGTATCCCTACAGTCTTGTAAGCGCTATGCGTTTCACCGCTATGACCGCGACCGCTACTGACCGCACTGTTTTTGACGCGATGCGTGAAGTATTTGTGGAGTCTTGTAGGCGCTATGTGATTCCGCCAACCGCTGCTGACCGCACTACGTGTGACGCAATGCGTGAAGTATTCATGGAGTCTTGTAGGCGCTAATATGTGTTCCATGCTGACCGCCGCGCCGAGGGCTTCTCCTTTTCATCTCAAGTCCTCGTCATCATTGCATTGCTCTCTGCGCCGTGCCGCTCCAGGCCAAATTGCGTGTTTGGTTTCTCTCTCATCTAGACTAATGAAAGTCTCTTGTATCACCGAAAGACAAACAAATTAGAAATTACTATACTTTAACTCTCAGGAAATGAGAGATTGTTTCGCCTTTTATCTTTTGTAATTTTTTCTCTGAATCAGATTTTTTCTCGATACCTACATTTGAAAAAATTACAACATTTGCCGCCCCCTAAATTTGCTGCCATGGGCCGCGGCCCATGTGGCAACCCCCTAAATGTGGTCCTGATGTCTTTAGTTTATTTCACGAGAGAATTGTTTTAGGCGGCGCTTTAAAAAATGGAAAGATGCCTCTTGAAATTACCCAAATATTATTACATTACCTTAGGGAGGAATACCTAATATGCATTCAGTGAAATTTTGGTTTCCTCGCTCACTCTCCTCCGCGATTGAAATATATCTGCTCTCTGCGTTACCTATACGTTAAACCTGATTGGCTGAAAAAATAATCCGCGCGGCACTGCGCACTGTCAAAGCTTAAATAGGTGCATTTTTACAATAAAAAAATCAGAGAGTAAGAATCTAAAACTCAGAAGTGGTCTTTTGGTCAAATCAGGGTCAAACAATCTAAGTAGTTGTAAGAAGTGTGTGTATGTGGTTCTTTGCCTCTTTCCCTCGGTCATTTCTGTTCCTCCGTCGAAAAGAGGACATCACTCGTTGCGAACCTTATGCGAACGTGGGAATTGGCATAAAGGGCCATTGTTTTTGTTTATATTTATAAGTACTCCTTTATTTAGACTACTTACTTATTGCTTCTCTTTTTTTATATGTAAAGTGCAATTTTCAACCCTTCAACTATAATTTGTGTTTATCTTAAGTGAGCCGTCGTCCTCTCCAGAAATATATTTAACCTGCCTGTCGCCACGTCTTTCGATGCGTGTCTGTCATCTCTACACTGCTGTCACCGTGTCGTGAGAATTCTCATACTCTCTCCAAGATCACACATTTCTCACAGTAGAGAAACTTGTTCAATCTCATTTTCAGCCATGACAACAGATACTCACTTCTTAACCATATAGTTTTCATCACTTCATCAGCCTTTTTATGACTCATAAACTGTCTTTGGTGCGTACGATATTTGCTCTCCCTTCTCTCTGAAGTTAACCGCGATGCCACTCTGTCATGTGCTGAACGTGCCTTCCTTAGTTTCTCCTCTCGAATTTGTAATTCCTTCAATTCTCAAATCACTGTGATATTGTTTAATGTTTAAGTATGGACTTACTTTTGCATTAATTCGATTATGTCCTACTTACTCAACATCAGAAGAAAATGCTTCGTTCTGAAAGTCATCACCTTATCAGGATTAGTAATAATTGTGTTGAATTTGATTTTTTTATCCTACAACAAAGATTTACTCAATGGGAGTCCACCTGAAGAATATGCTCAGCTTTACTCAAACAACAGTGATGAACTGTCGCCTTCTGAACAAACCAGACTTTTTCCCAGATTGGTACGGCCAGCAGAGAATTCTCTTTTCTCGCATGTTACAAATTTCTCCAAAGAAGAAATTAGCAAGTATGAGGCATTGATCCTAGCGGATGAGTCAATCATCATTCCTGGTTTAGGAGAATATGGTGTACCTGTTGAACATCTAGATGGATTTTCCAAGAAAGATTTCGAGGATAATGTGGCCAAAGAGTCATTCAATTTAATTCTAAGTGATCGGATCTCTTACACCAGAAAAATACCGGATGCTAGAAATCCCTTGTGAGTATTATCAAATGTGTATGTACTCTTTTTCTTTTTGTTCTAACAAATTGTCTTTAGCTCAATCAAAGCTCACTTAAAGTGAGGGAAGAAAAGAATGGACAAGAGTCCAATGTTCCTAAGTAGGTATTACTAAATTCTGAATTGTGAGGAACATCTCAAAAAATGCACAAAGTCAGGTTTGAATAATCAAAACTTAGGTATTCTTTTAATCCTAAAACAGCATTCAAAATATCTAACTCAATTGAGTACAGTATTCTGCTAGTATTGTACTGAATTATTATTATCAATAATGTGAACAAAAGTCTACTTCCATTGTTTCTGTAAATTGACTATAGCTATGTTCATGAATTTCTCTTCTTGTTGACTGTAAGTCTGGGGACAGTCAACCAGGGTCAAATGTTCAGCAAATGAAAATCCACGAAAGTGACCGGTGATTTTGTTAGTCACTTTGGCGGACTTCCTGTAGGAATTGACCATCTCTGATTAACTGTACCCAAAATCGTAATTTCTAGGAGATATCCACCAATAGGGCTGGGGTCAAATTTTCAAAAATGCTACTTCGTGCATCATTAGTTGATCAGAATGTTTAATATTTTTAGGTGTGAGTCCCAAACATACCAAGAAGACTCTCTTCCTGTTGCAAGCGTCATTATAATTTTCAATAATGAGAGATGGAGCCCCCTCATAAGAACCATAGAGACAACCTTGCAACGCTCTCCTCAAAAAAAGCTCAAGGAAATAATTTTAGTCGATGATTTCAGTGACACAGGTGAGTTTTCTGTAATATTCTCATGTTATTTCTAGAGGTGAATTCGGGGAGGGTTACATGGACTGCGATCCATGGCAGCAAACTTGAAGGGGGGGGGGGGGGGGGGGTGTTTTTCTTTCTTTTCCATCTAATGTGACAAAGTGAAAGCACACAAAATGAAAAAATAAACGAAGAAAATAATAATATTAACTAAAAGTTATCCATTTTTAAATTTAGAGTCATCAAATTTTTGTTAGTCCTGGGTAGTAGAATCATGTATTTGGTCCTGTTTTAGTCCATGTTTTTACTAATTCAAGATTCCATGGTCTTGACCAAGGATTTAAGTAGTCATGTAGTTCAAGGCCGGAATCTAGTTTCCTGCCTCTTAAGTCCCAAATGCTGTAACTTGTTCCTAAAAATATTAGCCTCTTATAATGATAAAAATTCCTCTTATCTTTATGATCTTAATTTCTTCAGACCAAACTGTAACAATCAATCTTAATCACTTATACTGTATCTTTTATTTTCAGAGGAACTAAAAGGAAAACTTGACTATTACTTGTACACAAGACTACCATCAAAAGTAAAACTTTTGCGACTAAAAAAACGCTCAGGGTTGATAAGAGCTCGGCTTGCTGGAGCACAAGTTGCCACAGGAGATGTTCTGGTTTTCCTTGACTCGCATTGTGAAGTTGGCATTAAATGGTAATTTCATTTTCCCCTTCTTATTAGAATCTTTTTTCCTATTAGTCTGTGAAAGTGCAAACATTGTATAAGGCAAATTCAATTTTTTGTTCTCTTTTTTTTCCATATTTTAGGTTTTTGATTTAGGTATTACAAATCCTGCAACCTTGAGATATTATTTAACTGGGTTATGGCAGGGGGGTTGCAAGAGTATAGAATAGAGTAAAATTTAAATTAAATTGTGCTCTTTCATGGCCTAATTCAAAGGATGTTACTTTCTCGAGTACAGGTTTGTTAGTACTAAAAATATATTTACAGATGAAGACCCCAACTCATGTATTTTTGTCAGAATTAAAGTGAATCAGTTTAATTATTTTAATACGATACTGGTTCTCTGGCGATTTTTATTGATCACCTGAGCTCCAGAGAAGCTCAAAAAAATGTAAGAACTTTTTAAATGGCTAGCTAGCTTCTAAATATTTCGGAAATATATGTACATCAAAAAGGCCTACGTGCTTGGTGAAAAATCTGAAATGGATGAATCATGGATGTTTCTTTGCCTGTAGTCATCTCATGTTCCCAAGTCTCTTAGTGTGCAACATTGGGTGTTAAATGAGGAATTGTTTATCTCCGAATTTAGCAACTATAAGGACAAAAATAATTCACATTAAAGAAACACCTTTGAAAGTATCTAAATTTTGCTTTATCAAACTGACATTATTTTCATAAATTCTTGAATTTCTATGTAGGGTTTCTCAATCCGAGTACTTAGTTAAAAATATTCTTTTATCTTTTGATTTCAGGCTTGAACCAATGTTGCAGAGGATCAAAGAACAAAGAAATGCAGTTTTAACACCGATCATAGACATTATTGATGATAAAAACTTAGCTTACATTTACAGTGGTGATAAGACACACTTCCAAATTGGTAGTTTTTTCTGGTCAGGCCATTTCACATGGATACCAGTGCCTCCAAGAGAAAACGAACGGAGGAAATCAGCCATAGCTCCAACCAGGTATGTGAATATTTTGCAGGAATTACTTAGGATTCTGCGGAAAATTCTAGATCTTTCCAATGAAAATCAATTTAGTGGATAAATTTCTTAGTTGAGACTCAGGAAAATTTGTGTGAAAGTAATATTTTGACTAGAACAGTTTGGAAGAATCAAGTTTCCACAGCCTGCAGCAAAGTCCTATTCCTGGCTCTGGCCAGATTCGCCAACAAAATTATACGAAGAACCTTCTGGTAAAAAATACCATTATCTCTTGAGCTAATCATGGAAATCTCTTGGCTTGGGTTCAATTGTTGTGCGTCGTTTACACTTAAGATAACACAGGGCGGGGAAGGAACACCGCTCAATCAAAAAGCCTAGCATAAGCGTTGTAGTGCATGATTTGATGCACATACTTAGTCTGGTTTTTCTTGTGAAAGAGAGTTTCAAATTTTTCATAACCAGTGCTAGATAAGAATGTAAATATATCAGTTTTGAGTTAATTTAGTAATTTTCACTGCGCAAATCAAGTTCTATGTGAAATTTTAAAGAGGAATTGTATGTCAGAATGCCCATATTTGTACCCTGTCTAGTGGTCCATTCATGGGTTTGGCATTGATCATTTTTTATGGGCGGACTTTAAAGTCAACTCATTAACTTTTCCCTATCATTTTGCTGTGAATTGTATCTTGTTTACAATTAAGTAAACCATCTTTACTTTTATCCATATCTTCCTCAGATCTCCAACCATGGCAGGTGGGCTTTTTGCAATAAATCGAGAGTATTTTTGGGAAATTGGGTCCTACGATTCTCAAATGGATGTCTGGGGAGGTGAGAATTTGGAAATGTCGTTCAGGGTAAGTTTTTTCATTCTCTTTAAGGAACTTTAAATTACTTTGCACCAGTATAACCGTTTCAAATTAATCAAAGTTCAAAGTTCCGTTTTAAATTAATTAATTCAAATCGATTAATTTATCAAGTGATTATTCCTCGGCACTGTCCAGATATCTGAACTGTTATTCTTCAGTACCGTACCAATGCCTAAATCATTACTTGTTGGCACTTGAGAAATAAACGTTCATTTGTGAAAAACCTTTCTCTCATTCAGAAATTTTGATATCTGTGATAAATCCTCCATCAAAATGAGAAACAAACGCCATCCATGGTGCGTTTCTCTGGAGAGACTCAAACTAAGTAGGCAGACACTAACGGCTTGCTGTCAGATTTTGCTTATAAGTATACACATCCAAATCCGATACGGTGTTATCTTGCTACTATCACGGTGAAAGAGAAATTTTGTAGTCAAAGCAGCAGCACTTGATTCAAACAAACATGGCTAACTGAATTTATTTCATAAATCATCTGACCAATTTTTGTCGACAGATCTGGCAATGTGGAGGTCTGCTAGAAACAATACCCTGCTCTCGTGTTGGTCATATTTTCCGGAATTTCCACCCCTATTCCTTTCCTGGCTCCAAAGACACTCATGGTATAAATACAGCTCGACTTGTAGAAGTGTGGATGGATGACTACAAGCGCTTCTTTTATTTACACCGGCCAGAGTTGAAGGTAATTAAATAAATTTTCAGTAAATGATACGTATCTTAGTTTTGAGATTATGACTTTTTAAATTTGCACCATCTTTTTTTAAACTACGTAATTGAAATAACAAATTGGAAAAAAAAAAAAAAAAAAAAAAAAAATTAAGCGTTTATGAGAACGAGACTGCCTCCTGACATTGTGGAGAACAAGAAGAAAGCGCGGAAGAATATGACTAAGACCAGATTTGAAAATGATAAAAAAGAGTATAATTGATCGAATAAATCAGTACGAAAAAGACTAAATCAATTAAGAAACGAAAAATACGAAAAATTTCTGTCCAGCCTGGGGACTAGAGAGGCCAATGACTATGGAAAGCTACCAAATATTTTAAGCGATCTGCTCAACTTAGCTTACTAATTTGCAACAACGAAGGGAATTGGGCAAAAAATGCGAAAGATAAGGCATTCGCAATTGCCTCTCACCCGGAAAAAGTGTTCAAACCAAACAAAGTCATGACTTCCTTGTCCAATGACAAGGAAGATGATCTATCGGAGGAAGGAAGCAGGAAGATTAATCTTGAGAACATTCGCTTCCTGCCCGATAAAAAAAATTAACAAGATAAGTTTTAATGAAGTTCTCAAATGTAAAAGTAAACTTCAAAAAGCGCCTAGTTTTGGCTTGATCTCGGGGATAAATGTTAAACAGTTAACTGCAGTAGTAATCAGGAAACTGGTCACTTTATACAATGCGGTCATCAAACTTCAGTATATTCCTTTCCAGGAGAAAAAAGCCAAAATTATAATAATATTAAAAACTGGTGAACCTTCTGCAAACCCTGATTCATATAGACCTATCTTCCTTTAACCAGTTTTAGGAAAAATCTTTGAAAAAATTTACATTGAAAGACTGCTAAGAATCATCAACAAAAAAGGCCCAATCATAAATGTACAATTTGGTCTCCATGCCTAACACAGTACTATAGAGCAACTTCACTGCGTAACATCTTTCATTGAAAAAGCACTGGAGAGAATACATTTCTGTAACGGGATATTCTTGGATTTTGCCCAGGCTTTCGATAAAGTCAACCACCAACGGTAGGTAGAAAAACTTGCGACTGATTTTTTACTTCATAAAATCAGTAACATTGATAGCTATAGGTAACTGTCTTTTCAGAGACATGCCTGTCAATTTTTTTTGGAAATTTGATGTAAACCCTTCTTATCAGTGACATTTTGTGTGAAAGTGTTTTTTTTTTTTGGTAATTTTGTTGTTTTCACATTTCTGCAGGACATAGACATTGGTGACTTGACAGAGAGGAAAAATCTAAGGCATAATCTCAAGTGCAAGTCTTTCAAATGGTATCTTGAGAAAATTTTGCCCGAGAAATTCATTCCAGACGAAAAAGTTCAAGCCTATGGTCGTGTAAGTCCCTTCAGCTTTATACATTCATTCTTGTAAATTTACAATCGATAAACAACTGAAGTTAGGAGTAGAGCCCTCCTTCCATAAAATGCTAGTTCATAGAGTTGATGTAGAGACCCAGATAAAAGCAGTTTTCTAGGGTAATGGACTCTTAGGAATCGGAATCTGACGGTTCTGAAGCCCCTCGAAGTTGCAGATGGGGTAGTAGACGAGCCCTAGCTTGTCAAACTTATAAATTTAGGGCCTCCATCCTGTCTGTCCCATCAGCGAGGCCTGCGGGGGTTTTGGCTTCCTTGAGGTCCATCATTCATAGAACATCATTTTCTTGGGCCTCAATGTTGAGTGACCTAGCATTTTATCAAGGGGGGCTCGGTCCCCCAACTTTAGGAGTCAATATTTCGCACAGGGATGGGCAGATTTTATACCTTCTGGTATCAGTTAAGGTTAAATTAGGTTCAAATTTGCTGCACGAAGTTAAGACCCCCTTTACAGCTCTCGATGGGAACAAAGGGGCTTTTAAATGATGAAACTTGGCTTTCTTGGGGTCTATTCCCCGGTTTTCTCCACAGACCTTCACTTTGTATGACCTAAAATAATGGAGAAACAGTCTTGGTATGAATGGTCTGGGACGCTCTTTTCAGTGCAAATGAACGAGTCCCTCTTTTGACTGCATTTGTTTGATTTCGACAGAGTTTAGTCTCATGTCAGTAAAATTGATAGCCTAGAAGTATTTTTTTGTCAATTTTTAGTTGAAAGTATTATCTTCCCCTCTAGGGTATGGGAGACTATTCCTAAAGGTCATACAGAAAATCTGATGAGTGGTCATTCACATTGCGTTTTTGGATACTTATGAGTCCTGTCTTAGACTGAAAAGATTTACTATTTACTGTAACTGTTTTATGCCAGAAAATGGAATTACTCTCTTCAAATCCTCAATGATGCATTTCAATTTGTTTCTCTTTCTTTACTCTTTACCACTGTCTTAATTTTAACCTTGTGTCGGTTTATTTTTTTTCCTGCAGATGAGAGCTGTAGAAAGCAACCTGTGTTTAGACAATCTTCAGAATAATATGGATAATCCTTACACTCTTGGAGTTTACTCTTGCCACTCAAAACTTTATCCCAGCCAGGTACAAAAAATTTTATCGTTAAATTTATTGAAGCACTGCGAGGCAAATTCTAAAAGTAAAAAATAAATCTCCATAATCATATGAAATATTTTTGAGATGATGATTCAAGAAAAGAGAGAGGGAAAGAACTGTCCTCTTGAGCAGACCAGAGAAGAGAAAGAACGAGACTCAATCTGCCAAACAGAAACTCAAGGAGAGTCCTGCTAATGGAATTTTACTCTTTTGCCAGGCAGTGCCTTTTCAAACGTTTTACACCCAGCTAATAATAATATTTTTTAAGTTTTTAAAATTTTATCTATGAAATTTGTTAAAGGATGGCATCCTAATGTATGCATAATTTAAATGACTATTAGCTGAAATTTACATTTTGTCCTCCTTGAGAAAAAAAGACTGACCCACACAGTCAAAGTTATCAGTAGAGCGATTTTTGTGGAGAGGAGTCGAAGAGTCAAATTTTGAGATCTCTTCGGAATATTTTCTCCAGCCCCTGATAGAGTAAGTTGCAAGTTTCCCATATACATGAGCAAGTCAAAAGTAACATGCTGCCTTAAGAACCTATGTTTTTTTATACAATTATCGTTGAGCGATGCACCACTTACCGCAATCCAGTATAGATTTTTCCAGTGACAGTCGTCTTAAGTTGATGGGTCCCTATGTATGCTACTGAGCAGCTGTGTTAGTAATCATGTGAAAATTTTGAAAAGAAATTTTTCCTCTTAAGTGTAAGAAAAAAAAAAAGAAAAAAATGGTTAGCATTAGTGATGATTAATTAGAAGTTTGTAATTTTTAAAAATATTCTCAGTGTCTTTCTACTTTTGCATTAGCTCTGATTCTAACTCTAATATTCACTGTTTTACATGTGTTTTTTCTACAGTATTTCTCGTTATCTGATTTGAGTGAACTAAGGCAAGAGGTTCAATGTGCAGAGGTAGGCACTCAAACAGACAAAAAGAAACGTTACATAATAACAATGTTTGAGTGCCATGGTGGAGCCAATCAAAAATGGATCATAACCCAGGTGATTTCTCCCTTGTCTTCTCCTCCATTTTCTACTCGTTAATTTTTTCGTCATGTTGATATTTTTTTCAAGTAGCTATGAGATCAAATTTTAAAATTTGTATTGGAAATGTGTAGCAAGAAAGATGTTAAGGTTAGTACACTAGGCTGGACCTTTTTTTCCAGCAGAAAATCTAACAGATTTTTTGCAAATGCAGTGTTTATGAAAAACATGAAGAATACTCAAGTCTTTTCCGTGAGTAAAACCTGAGTGATGACTCATATTATATTTTCATGAGAGGTAATGGCAGGAAGTTTTTTTTTTTATTTATTTGTTTTATTCATTAATAATTTAGGATTAATCTATAAATGTCCTCTGTGCCATTTCTAACTTTTCTTGTTTTGTTTTTTTCAGTCTGGTGGATTAAAACATCAGGAATCAAATCTCTGTCTGACAGTAATCTCAGAAGAACCAATTAGTGTTGTTGCAGCCAAATGTGATTCATCAAATGCTCAAATCTGGACTTTTGATTACTATACAGGCAATGCAAAGCCTTTTGATGTGGGCGATGCTGAAATTTTATAAGCAAAAGATCTGTCAGAAGCACACTCATCAAAAAAGACTAAATCCTATAGAATTTTTGCACTTTTTTTCTTCGTAAGTAGACAATAAATATATGACTGCTTGCTGTAATATGTCAAAGCTGTTGGGAAAACGATTGAGAGATAGATAATATTAAGGAAGAAATAGCCAAACAAAAAGATTGGAAAGCTTGAAAACAAAATTAGTCAAGAATAAGTAGTCAGAAACTTAAGTAGGAGTACCTGAGCGTGAGAACGATTAATTGGACGTATTTCTATCAAATGGAACTAAGTGCCATAGGGGGAGGAAGAGAGAGGGGGGCTTGGATTGGCGGGTGTTGCTGAACGCGATGCTCATTCCGTCCTAAACTTGCCATGCTTTTCCATGGTGCTTAGTTCCGTTTGATGGAATGCGCTATCCGAGATTCTAAAATCCTCAAATAAAACTCAATTTGGCGCTTAGTTCCGTCTAACAGAAATACATCCAATTATTCTAATACCCATCTAGAAAAGCTGTACAAAACCATTACTATAGTAATAAATATTTAATGCTCAAAATAATGTAGGTATTTATCCTGATATTCTTCTGTTGTAACGAACGTTTTCTAGGACCAAATTACATAGTAGTGCAGTAAACTCTGTCACAACTTCTTTAGTTAATTTGTATTTTATCAAGATCTGCATAAGAGGATATGTCTATTTGTCATGGATTTGATATTCAATTGAAATGTTATAAAAATGAGGATATTATTTGTGCTCATGAGCACAGAAGGTAAAAAAAAATTAGTGTTAGCCCTCGTCTCCACAGGAAGTTGTCATAAAGATTTATCCCAAGTTTGAATCGTAGGAATGAAACTCGTAGGACGGGGTTCTCGAGCTCTTGTATCAAGTTTGCACGGGAAGATAAATCAGTAAAAATCGAGTATTCAACCGGGATTAAGATAATAATTGAAAACTATTACCAACTAGACAAATGATTTTTATCGTACAAACTTGAATAATCGAGTGAACAACAAAATATCGCTCAGTTTGCTTTCACCTCTTCTTCCTCTCTCAGTAGGTCTTAAGGGCACAAGGACCATACTTGATACTGGGAAAAATATTGGTGACTTCAATATTTTTCGTAAGTGGGATTTTTCCCTGGGACAAATTCATGAAATGGCCCGTGGAGACTAGGCTTAAGAATGAGTTTGTACAAGCGGAATAATTGTTCTTGCGAAAAATAGTTTTTCATAACCCAGCATACACTGTAGTGCACTGCTCTGGTGACCACAGAACAGTGGTCCGCGCACACGCTCTTGATTGAATACTCACCTATCGCCCGCATAGAGACTCCTATGTTTGCCTCGTTCTCATCTTTTCCTTTTCTTCTTCTCTCGTTATGCGTTTTTTTAAAGTTAGAAGTGTCTTTTTTTGCTAACTAAACCCAACAGACGGAAATTGAAGAGAGAGTATAAGGATAGGTGAATGAGAAAAAATGAACATTCATTCTCCTCCAAAATGAATGGATCTGAGCCCGGCAAATCTGCACGCCCTGGCCAGGATTCGAACTTGGGACCTCTGGGTCGAGAGTCTCTTACGCAAACTATTAGACCAACCAAGTTCGATATCGTAGAATTTTACAGCTACAAAGGAGCAGCAGCTAGCTATCAGCAGGGCTAGGAGCGTTGGTGTCATCCTATCCTCTCTTCTGCGTGATGAAATTAGCCTGATGATGACGCTTTCCCATAATCGGTAAAGAGACCGACTAATTTTATCAGATAAGATGTGCAGTCCCGGTTTCCGGATAATTGCAAGTCGACGCATCCTGCAATGAGAAGAAGATAAGGAAAATACGAGCACGGAAGATACGTGTGGTACCATTGAGGGGAAAGGCTTTCTTTAAGAAGAGTCCATGCCCGTACCATCTCCTGTGGTCGTTTGAGTGATGTATGGCGGGTTATGGAAAACTATTTTTTGCAGAAACAACGATCCTGCTTGTACAAAGAAAACCTAATTTTTTAAACCATCCCTAATGCAAAAATATATCAGATTATGGCTCCTTTTAAAATTACTTTGTCAGCATAGGAGTTTATAGTAACCAAACTAAGCCATAATGCTTTGATAGTTTATTTTTTTAGAGAAAGAAATTGATAGTAGAGGTTCAAATATTGGGCCTATCATGTGTACTTCTCAAATTCCAATAGCTAAAACATGTACCCAGTGTAGATGGTCTCCTATTTTATTTCTTCGGAGAGGTCCTGAAACTATTCATCTAAAAGTGGGCCACATTTTCAATTGCTGAGTCCACTCTCTTAAGAATCAGTTTCTGCACAAGTACACATAAGTAATTTAGAGTCAACGCATAGTTTGTATATTTTCACCAATTTGATGTCTGGGAAAACCAGATTTTGAGCCTAATTGTCACAATCAATTTGCAACTTTCGGAACTTAGTATCTCATTTGTAATGTTTTTTAGGTATTGATACTGAATTGTTTACGTACATAGAACTTCTACTTCGTGTGTTATGAACAAATAATTTGATTTTTCCAAAAATATTGGTTTTATGCTGCAGATCCTCTGTTTTTTTGCCACTAGATTCCCTAATGGAATTTTTGCAATTGATTTTTGTTACAATCGAGCTGCTGTCTCAGAGATTTTCATGCATGTATGTGATTATGACTTCTTCTGTGATTTCATTTTTTCTTTTTCTTAGAGTTTGCAGAGTTTAAAAAGCCTTGTTATTGTGACATTGTGTCACGTAATTTAAGCATCTCCAATTTGGAAGCTTTTCAGTTTCTCATGGAACAGTTCCTAGTGCTTCCTAAATGCATTCTCCATCCATGGAGCATTTTAGGTAAATTTTCTTCTATTGTTTTTAATGTTCTTTATGTGATTATGAAACTACCTACTTAATATTGAATTAATCTATGTGTACTTACGTATGTTGTAGTCAGAAATTGTCAAGCTCTCAAGGGGTCCAAAAATTATTGTCATCAAATTAAAAACCTACAAGGGTCTTCAAAATGCAATGCCTCCAAACTCATATTTCATGTGAAAAAAGACGTTCTTGTAAGGAACTGTCCTTGTTTTTCTTAAGAAAAACTTTAAGGCAGTCTAAGTGCTCTCATGCATCCAAAAGAGAGCAATAACGGGTAAATCCAAAACCATTGTCATTTTGAGAAAAAATAAGATTGGATGCAATCAGCTCTCTGAAAAGTATGTTTTATTACAAAATGTTTCTGAAGGAACTTGATTTTCTACTATTCATGTGCAGAATATTTAAGAATATTATGAATGTGGAAAGATTGCATTCATCAGTCTTCTGCATTTAATCTTATTGATCAAACTTTTTTTATTCACTTAGGATCTTACTGTATGAAACAAATGTAGATGTACATAAACTGTGGGGTCAATGATGGCAGTGGTGCCATACGTTCTTTCTCAGTTTAGAGTTAACAGATTTTTTAATTCTCTATTTTGCGCCTTGAAAATGAAAGAGATTTATACTTAATTTTTCTATTGTTTTATTAATTCTGTGTAATTTTTGGAGCTTGTTGCGCACCCACTATTTTTCAATGTTGGTGCTATTCATTCTTTGGTGCACATTTAATGTGGCGTTTTTTTTTCTACTTGAATTAAATCTATTATTTGTAATTGTTCTCTCTGGTCTACCCCATTTTTCTTTCAATTTGCTCAATGTTAGATTCCCATTCAGAGCCTTCTTAAAAATTTTTTTTGCCTTCAAAATTTGATGATGTTTCAATTTTTGTTACTTCCAGATGTACGGAATCTATTACTTAATTCATTGAAAAAATAAAAGAATTTGTTGTTAATCTTTCATCATTTTCATGTTTCTTTGGTTTCAATATTTACCTAAAATTAACATCACGCAACAGCATGAATCTATCTGCATAAGGAGTTTTGAAAAAAAACTTATCTGTGACACCTCATTTGAATCAGTGAGTTCGAAAACACACCAACTCAGGTTTTTTTTCGATTTTCACTTTTTTACAGTTTAGTAACACTTACGGATAGAAGCATCTGCACGCAGAAGGAAATTTCGAAATTGCAATCGGAAGTGCTCAAAACAGCGACAGGAAAAGGGAAGAATCAAAGTATTTCATTGGAAATACCAATTGTTGGCCATTTCAAGGGAAACGGGTGGCTATCTGATTTTGGGGTTTTCTTTTTTCGGTTCAGCATACCCTGTACCAGCATGTTATATAAATATTCAAGCGTTTTTCAGGTCGAAAAATATAATCTTTTCAGGGCAGACTATGAAAAATCAGTATCTGAAAGTCGGTGAGAACGAAAATACACGATCTTGGAAATTTTTAAACGCTTAATTCTCTGTCATCAAACATGGTGTAGCGATTTCAACTTGGTGCTTTACAAAGTCTCTAAGTACTTGTCCTTTGGCACCAAAAAGGTTTTTCTTAAACTAACTTCTTCGCCCGCTGCGCAGTTTTAGGTGTTTCCTGAACAATTTTTTTTCCCCAAGTTGGTGTGTTTTCGAACTCACTGATTCATTTATGAGTGTTGTCACATGATAGTGGCCATTTTGGGTTTTAGGTAAGTTTATTGGACTGTTGCGACTCTTCTGCATCAAATTATACATTTTTTTGTTTTTCTTTTTTGTATCCGGGCTTGAGTTAAAACAGGGTGTCTAGTTTTTTTCATTTTGGGAAATCCTGATATTTCCCGATTTTTGACTGATAAATCCTGATTTCATAATTTTTCAAATCTTGATCAAATCCTGATTTTTTGCGGAGAAAAATTAAAGTTCCTGCATAAGTGTATGCGAAAGCATAAAAAAATCAGATCGGACGGCCTACTTTTCTCAAATCCTGATTTTGCGACCGATTTTTCCTCAAATTCTTCTGAAATCAGGATTAAATCCTGATAGAATCGGGAAAATCCTGATGCTAGACACCCTGTAGAAGTGGGAAAATTCTTAGCACAGATTGTGAGATAAGGCATGAATTCTAGACTAAGGCCATATTCTAATGATGATTTTGATGTTGAAGCTATGTATTTTTCATGGGAATTAATAGCTTCAAATATCACTTGCAAGAAGCTCATCTTTTTAATACCTAATTTTTATTAGTTTTCATCGGATAGCAGAAGGAAAAAGACAAAAGACTGAGGAACTGAAAATTCAACAATTTTATGCACAATCATTACAGAGGTACAACATTTACAGTAACTAATGTACATAACACAGAAAGTTAACTAAAAAATCAAGCAAAGGTGGACAAGCTCATTAAGCTATTGCTTTAAGTTTCCTGGTCAGGCCATAGGTGCAAATATTTATGAGCTTTGACTGACAAGCACAAAAACTGAGCCGTTTGCTCAACATTTCAAGGAAGAAAATCATGAAAATAATACTGAAAAAGCTGTGTGTTTAGGGGAGAGCAGGTAGCTTGCGTTTCAAGATGAGACGCCTGAATAGCTTTGTAAAAGAAAGAAGAACATTTTTCCAAAAAATAAAAAGTCTGTTTGTTAGCCATTGGAAAAGTAGGTGTCAGTAAATGTGGAAGTTGTAGAATATGAGAACGCCCTGCCTTTGTTTTTGTTGGTTTTTTGCCTTTTTTTCTCATGCCCCCTTGTTTCTAATCTTTCACTGTTGTAGAATAATCAGAGAAAAAAGAAAAGGTAAAAACAATATTTCTAACAGATTTTGGTATCAATCAAGGAATTACATTAAACTTGTTGAAAAGCTTTAAGTATATGATCTAGTCTGCCACGTTTTTATTTGAGTCCAAAATTGTCTGAAACTACGATTAAATTTCTGGTATTCTTCTTTGTCAAACTTCATAAGACAGAAAAAAACAACACGATATTGTCCTCATTTCTGAGGACGGAGGTCAAATTTCTATGTTCAGATAAGGGGTATAGCCTCAGGTGTTTTATTGCTTGACAGACACTTTTTGCAAAAGGTTGACGCTCAACAGCTTCAGTATTAAATCTTCAAAATTTTTTTAAAGGACCACTGGACAAGGTGCGAATCAAAGCATGATTATATTATTTTTCTCAGTAAAGTGAGCAATACAAATTACTGGAAGTACCTCCTAACCGAGATAGGTATTAATTACCCTTTTTTGCCGCATAAATTCAAACTTTCCGCTCATTAAAAAAAACCAGCATAATCAACTCTCAAAAAGTTCTATAATCTCAAAAAGTTAAATCGCACACCGATCGTTAAATTGTGACAGTCTTTCCGTATGGCAATATGGCAACCTCAAAATCGGCGCTTTGGCTAAGCTGTTGCAAGTTGTTTACAACATTGGAAAGCAACACAGTTCGAATAATAAGCTTACAAGAAACACTGTTGTATGCAATTTGATTCATGTAGACTTGGATTCCTCTTAAAAGCGGGTGATGCAAATCTTTCATTATCGGTTCTAAAAGATCCATTCATATCTTATTCAGGAGTCAATACCAGACATTTTTGCTGCGCTACTCAAGTTCTGTGTGGAATTTTGAAGAGGAAACATATCAAAATACTTAAATTTGTACCTTGTCTGGTGGTCAAATCTTCCAGAGCTCTATGAGCAAACTATCCCTTTTGTAAGAAACTGAGCTCATTTTGGTGTTAAGCTGTCCAACTGTGATTACCAGAATAATAATTTAAACTTAATACTTACGTTTTCCTCCAAAAAGGAGTTAAAAATTTTGTGTATTCAATGCTCCAGTCATGCTTCTTTTCTTCTTTCATCCTTGTCATCTAATGGGACAACCGTAATAAGATCATTTTTTGTTGTTCGATGAGTTCCTCGCGTGTAAGTGAATCAAAAAGCTGCAACTGAAACAGAACAATTGATTATAGATGACTAAACTTAATCAAGAGAATCTCCACTGATATCTGATCATTTAAAATCCTTGCTATATATGTCAATACCTTCTCCTAACTTTTCCCTTACTTCCCCCCAAAATTACGTTTTTGGGGGGTTTTCAGTGATCCTAGCTTTCCCCATACCTTTTCTTTAACTTACATTTCTGACTCTGCAAAGGATTGCAAGGAATCTTTTTCTCCGATACCCTAATAGATAGTTTTTTACCTGCAGTTCTCTTCATTTTTGGACAGCAAATAACTTGACTTTTGCATGGTAATTAACCATTGTCTGACATGAACCAAGTTACTTGCTCCATGCAGAACATGTTGAACATATTAAAAACTTTCAAAATAAATGTTTGCAGTTCACATAACAAATGGTAAATTAAAAATTTCTGCTCGCAAAAAAACCATAATCAACGTAGGTCAAATCAACCATTGAAACGAACTTTTTTGTTAGGCAAATAACGAGAGCTTTGATTTCATACACGTGTCTTTCTTCCTCTGATACAAGGTATATTTGAGTTTTTCAAAAAAAATTTGGCATACCTACACGAAAATTCTTCCATCATAAAATCGAAATGGGTCAGTTGCACTGGTCACGGAATCGTGTTTTGATGCTCGATTCTTGTAGGTTAGCTAGGAATAATGAAACCTGCCCAAACAGCAACTTTTTACGTCCAATATTAACCAAGGTATCGCACTTTGAAAAAGTCGGATTATGACAACATCCACTGCCGTAGCAACACCCTTGGTTTTTTCCACCTTGCTTTCATCAGTCAAAGAAACACACATTTGCACTGATCCCTCGACGTGAAACTCGGATCAAAGCAGGGCGGAAGAAACCAAACCATCATTCCCCTGCGGTGAATGGCGTCATAAATCAAATTTTTCAAAGCGCGATATCTCGGTTAATATTGAACAAGGAAAGTTGCTGTTTGGACGGATCTTACTCTTTTTAGCTATTCTAGAAGAATCAAGCATCAAAACACAATTCCGTGACCAGCGCAACAGACCAATTGCTTCAATGTTTGATTTCACACGAGTAGACTACAGTTCTTCTATAAGCGGGAAAAGCGAATTAATGAAGACAAAAATCGTTGTCTAACTTGGGCAACATTTTGCAATTTGGACCTATAGATTCTAGCTCGGTTTAAAAACAACGTATGTGCCATTAGTTTCCCTATACACATAAGTGTTTTTCCAGAAGAGTCAGAATTTATCGTTCTAAATTGCAAAATGCAGTCCACTTATGAGTTGAATTTGGAAAGTTTTAATACATCCATTGTATTCTACATGAAATTTCATTCCAAGACCACAGATTGTGGTTTTTAATTTCAAATCCTATCTGATGGTCTGTTAGTTCCTGTTACAGGCAAATTCAAAGAAAAAAATAGCAAATAGCCTTGTATTAATGATATCATACTTTACATGTAGCGAAGGTATACTGAACTGGAGGTACAGATAAACTGCAAAATTTTACATTATCACTAAAATAGCTAAATGGATATGTTTATTCGTAATTTGAAGATCTTTATCTCTGAACTGAAAAATGCACTAAAAATAGCTACTTTCGTTCATAGTAATAAAAAAAAATTTAACAATTTTGAGGTAAGAGAGTCACCTGATGTCGAGTGAAAGACACCATAGATTCAAGTTGGCGAGGATCCTCACAAATCTTGTTGAAAAACCTCCGCCATAAAGCAGATGCCAGAATTTTATCATCCAGTAAAGCCTCGTCATACCCTAGGAAAGCTGCATTCATCTGACCAGAGAGCTCCTGTATACTTGTGTTCAGTTGTTTAGTGTTTGGCTGTATGATAGAAAAAAAAGAAGAGACAAACAATTACTTCCTGCTACTGCCAAGATAATAGATAAATGGACTTTCCTCTGGTGGCCTCTGCTAGAATGCCGGGAAAATGATGGAATGATGTACGTCGATAGTCAAATCGATGTCTCCTCTCGTTTTCCACTGATGTTTGTTAAAATGAAACGCATTTTAATGTGGGATTGTTGCTTGTTAGCTACAGATGACATGAATGAGATTTGATTCTTTGATTCTGAAGATTTTGTCTCGACTTCCCTATTGTTTTCATGCACAAGGAGTAGAAAGACATTTTACGGGAGTCGTAGAAACCCATGCTTGCTTTTGATTGATGCCGGATGACAACATTCGGTTTGAGGTGAGACTGGGGCATTCTAAATTTGCAGAAAAGTTGCGGTTTTTGATCTGCATATTTCTTGGCTTCTGAGTTATTTTTTTGCATTTTTAATGAGCGCATCGAAATTCACAAGTCATTAACTTTTGGAACTGTATTCGCAAGTCAAAATTCGTTCATGGTCTAGTGACTTAGTTAAGCCCATTCCTGTTAATACCGTTGCAACAAAAACCTGTGTATTTTTGGATGAGCCATGAGATACAAACACCTTAAACCGCGTGGTATAGGAAGCTGTGTCCAAGCTTGAAAACAAGGTGGGCAATTTTACAAACCTACAATAATAAAAAAGAGGGCTCAGTTGGTTTTAGACAGCAGGTGGTCTCAAAAGTCATTTCTACAAGAAATGTTGAGATTTGAACTTTTGCAGTTGTAGCTTTTAGCTTGTTGAATAAGTTTTTCGAAATAACTTCTACATCCAAATAAATAGTACTTCTTTTTACAACACAGTCAACCCTGTGGAACCCGACGTAAATGGATAGGTAGCAGGCTACTAATGGGCAACTCCTGCATTTCTTCTTGTACCCATGGGCCTTTTTTGAAAATCTACCAAGTTTTTCGTACTTTTGATAGAGATCTTTGAGCAAACTCTCCATGAAAATGCTCTTCAGACTTACATGGATAGTTTTGGCACGAGCGCGAACATCCTCCCACATTGCTGCAACAACTGAGTCTCTTAGAGCTTTCCCTTCCTTACCTTCCGCCATCAATCTTGCACTCAGTATCCACAAGTGGAGTTCAATTACTACAAACCACGACTGAAATGTATCCGGCATATTAAAGGCTGCAACAAAGAATAATTCAAAATTACTTTCCAGCTATTTTAAAGGGCTATCTTATCGTCTAAGACAGAAGTATCGAAAAGTGATGCCAAAAATAGTTTAAAAACCCACCTCCTTGCAAAAGTACAATAATTGCTTAAAATTGATGCCTCAAACTGATGAGAGGGGTAAATCATATTTTTTGGGTTTTCAGAAAAATTAGTTAAAAGTTTTGGGAGTCCATTTTTTTTTTTTATATTAAGCAACAAACTGTTACAAGATCTTTATTTTGAAATCACGAATACCTCATACCCTATAAAAATGTCACTAATGAAATTGTGAACAATTTTGGCTGTTGATTACTTCAAGAGGAAGTGATTATCAACACCTGATTTCAACCTTTCTTACACTCTTAGTTAACCAATCATAAGTATGCAGATCACTCACCATCAAAAAAATCTTTATACTGTATATTTTCTGAGAGTTGTTGATAGATAATTGCGGCTCGGGCTTGTTTGAGCTGCAATAACAAAAAAAATAAAAAAGTGTAGTTTTCTCTGTAGTTTTTATGCTGTGAAAATAGAAAAGAAAAGAAATACATGGGGTGGAGTGGGCTGTATTAATTGGAAGAGAACCAAATGACATCAGCTGATGAAAAATTTCATTGGATAGTTTAATTTTTTACAGAAGAGCAGTTGTAACAATTGCACTGACAATTTCAGGAAATTAGCATCACGCTACATAAGAAATTACCTGTAAAAATAGAAGGAGTGAGTACAACCATTGCACTGTGGAAAAATAAGTTGTCAAAAGAAACTGGACAATAGCAGATGTCAGTTGCTTCTCTACCTTAAAAAATCTTCCTGCTCAGAGACTTGGGAGTGGTGGCTTTTCGGAGAAATAACATTGCCTTTGAAGTATGATTTTCAAAGGATGAAAAGAGAGAATTCTTGCTAATGACAGAATAGGTTAATTTTTTAAGTTTACCAGGGCGATTAATAGCAGCAAGAAAGTCTTTCAGTATGGAATGCATAATGGAAGCAGTTTTGGAAAGTAGAGACTGCACTTACTTCATGGGAATTTGCACAGATTTTTTTGAACGATATTAACCGACAAGCAACAAGTTGAAGGTTGCACATTCCGAGAATTTAAACACATATTTTCAAGAAAGCCAAGTTGGTGTCCAAAAATATTTTTCCTGCCGTAGACACACTTGTGGGTTTTACGGTGGAAAGTGTACTTGTAGCAGGAGGAATGTTTGTGGACTAAGCTCATCTTAGTTTGCTTGACAATGCTCAGAGCTCAAAATACGCACCTTTGATTTCGTTTTTCATCGGTTGTTATGATTCGAAAAAATAAAGAAAAATCTCTTTGGACAAAGAGCACTCTTCACTCCACACAAATCTTTTTCAACGGAATGATTCAAACAGCTTTAACTCCATGGTGGAATTGAGGTTTTACATTAATGGATTTATTCCATGCCATTTGCTAATATACCCTCACGTGTACCTGTTGATACTAGTGACTTAGTTTTAAGGTATCTAGTCCCATATATAGTGTCACTTAAAGAAATTCTCTAGGGCAAAATGAGATTTGGGGCTTTGCAAAACATAAATAATGCTGAAAAGCATATTTTTTTTTATTCCCTTATAGAATCTAATGCACCTATTTTACAGCTCTGCACTTCCCTACAAAAATTACTCAACTTTCTGTTTGACCTCCTAACTTAGATTGGCGTTTTGTGATGAATTTTGAATGAAAATTGCTACCTAATAATGATTTACATTGTACATTTTTTAATAATCGGTGCTAGGCGTTGATTTCAGCATTACCTTACAGTTTTAGACATCCCCCCCCCCCCCCCCCGTTAGGGGAATCTTCTTTAAAGCTGCCGTAATGATGGCTCAGGCCCATGATCTTCAATTGAACTTGCGCATTTTATGTACAGTTCCTTAAATTAAACAGAAGAAAAGGCAAGTAAGAAAAATGATTGCTCATCTTACATGAGTCTTTGTTATGAAGCTCAATTTGTTAAGGACAATATCCTTCACTTTTTTCTTAAATGCAGAATCTTCTTCTCGAGCAGGCTGAACTACTTCCTGGTCTCTTTTTGGCTGATAGGCACTAGACTGAGATTCATGGCTGGTGGGAGTGTTTGTTGCCAGAAGTCTGGAACTGAGCATAGCTGTGGAGTTTGTCCTACCGATAACCTAGAAAAGAAAATTTTGTAGAATGTACGGAAAAGTAATTAGATAAAATATTCCTCACTTTAAAAACTGGCATAAATTTTTCATAAATAAAAAAAAATAACAAGGAAGATGACTCAGTTGTGATTGATTTCGATATTTGTCCATTCAGAAAAAGAGGGGCTCAATGCTAAAGCTTTAAAAGTCACGATTTAACATCAAGATGAAAATAATCTTCTGGTTGTGCTCATTCTTCAGTGCAATTGCTGGAAAGTTGACCTAAATATCAGGGAGGCATGGCAACTAGCCAGAGGATACAAGGTGACTAAAACATCAGAATAGGGATCCGCATCCACAGATTTCTGCATTTAGAAAAAAGGAACCAGCGCAATTTGAGTGTTTTTAATTTGTGCAAGTATTCTGTTTCTTTTAAAAATACATAGTGTATGTACTCCATTCCAATTTACACAATTGTTTCCTTCAAAATTAACAATTTTTTGGTGGGAAGCCGAAACTATTTGCTATCTGGAAGATTTTTAAGATAACTATGAAGAAGCAACATTTTTACGACACTGTAAGTGATTGCGTTGATTCCTTTTAGCTAGATGTGATCAACATTAGAGTTTGAAAATCATACGATACCTTCAGGAAAAAAGGAACTCAGTTAATTCATAATTTAGTACTCCATTTAATGGCTTAACCAATGGAATTTAGGAATAAGTCAAACCAATCTGAGCTGTTTTTAAATGGATTTATGACGTACTCTCCTCGGCATAAATGTACAACCCATTCGGATGTGTTCAAAAGATGGCTGGTTTAATGTGCACTCTTGATAGGTTACTTACTTTCTTTCGTAGAAGCGACAGATTTGAGCAGGCAGAGTAACCCCTCATAGGTGTGGCTAAAGGTCTTGAGAGAATAAGATCTGCTGTCTGTTGCACAAGTGATGACTGCCTCCACATCAGGGTCAGCATCGCCGAAGAACAGCAGCAATTCTTCATAAAGATAAAAGAAAAACAATCATTAAATCTCTTGGCAACTTTACAGAAACTAGATTTACAAAAATAACCGTGCAGGTAGGTCTAGAATAAATGTCATTCTAACTACCAACGATCTGAATGACATTAGAATAATGGATTCGGATTCTACCTTTTAGATTTCAGAACAGGTATTATTCCTTAAGAGTTGAGAGAGAAATCATTCTTGCGTTCAATGCTTCACCTTGCTCAGATGCATCCAAGAGCCATATCATCGTTATTTGGAAGTGTTTCAGAGGTTTACCGAGAACCAATATGACAGCCCTTGGGGTAGGACCAAAGAGAGGTTTTATAGATTCCCTGATAGGAGACTACATAAGACATACTTAAAAAGAAACTGCTTACCCTTGTAAATAAAGCAGTGAGTGACATGACTAGGCTTGCTTCAAAATTCTAGAGAAGTGAGTAAAAAGGTGTTTCACAATAGTTGCAAGCTATCTTGACTGAGGGCCAAAAATTTGACTGACTGACTGATTAACATAGAAAACACATTTGGACATTACTGTCATGTATTGGGAAAGAACAGCAGAAAAACGTCAGTTGGTTTCGTTGAAAATATTTCAAATTAAAGTTGTAAGTACATAAATGTAGTCACACATGGGTCACACTAGACTTCGTCAATGTTTGATAACAATAATGAAAATGAGAGGTTAGGTTTGGCGAAATGAATCTTTTGGTACTGAACCGGATGTGTGACTATTCTGGTGCTGAACCGGAAACACCGATGCTCCAGCTCCAGATTCAGCCCATTCCAGACCGGAAACCAAAGTTTTGGGCGGGAAAGTTTTGCAGGAGGAATGATGTGATCTGCAATTGATTCTGCAAAAAGGAAACAAACCAAGAGCTGTTCAATTTAAGATTATGAACATTTCTTTACCTTGCGAATCTCAACTGATCATCTAAACAAGTCTTGTCTTTACTCTCAGTAAGTAGAAATTCAAGACGAAAATATTACCTCAGTAAATTTAACTTTTTTTGCACGATTTCAGTAATTTTATTGCGAAGAATGTAAGTTGCTCGATCCTACCATCATTGGAATGCTCTCGGTGCCTTTTGGCGAAATGCAATCCATTATTGTTAACAATAGGATCCGGATTCTTTTTAACAATCTCTTCTGCCATCATCAAATAATATCTGTTGGTGGCACTATGGCAGTACATCTCACATGGAAAAAATATGTTGAAAATATGCTCTCTGTGATGAAATAAGTGGGAACTGAGTAAGTAAATTAACTCATTGAGACCGAATAATGGAACTGTAACTCGATGTCACAGACTGACTAGAGGTGAGGATTGAACTTTAAATCCTTCTTTACATTTTCCTAAAATGACTTCAAAACGCAACACCAATTCAAACATTTATCCTCCTTCATTAGATTGCCATGAGACGCTTCTTTTGTGTACTAATCTCTTCCTGTGGTCAATGTGTCTGAGGCCATCAAGTCGTCTATTTTACTGATTTTTCTATTGGACTATTTTTACTAAAAAGTGACGATAAGCTTGAGACATGGCATTCTTGATAGTAAAGGTTACTGAGTAATGTGATGGATTCAGCGACTGAAAAGGGAAATGTCTCTGAAACTCCAATGAATTTTCAATGATGCTGTTTTTAATGAGTGTTTAATTTTAGAACTGGATGTGTTTGCATCCAGGTTATAAGAGACTGAATTTTAGTCAGAGGTGATTTTTTTATGAAGGTACGTACTTTTTCCTTCATATGCAAGTAACAAATTCATTAATTAGAAAAATAATCAAAAATTAACAGTATTTCAAGAGGGATAAACTGCTTAATCTCACCAGACTTATAAAACAAAAATGATGGAAAAGATGCAATGCATCTATGACAACGAATGAGACACAGAAAAAGTTTAAAAATTCATATAATTTACAAAAAAATGTACAAAGTATCATTAGGTACAAACTAGTTCAAGTCGGAAGATTGAGAGACAGAGTATAATTCAGCCAGCACAGACAGGCTTTGCAAGTAAAAGTTTTTTTTTACAGAACAAACTGTCTGCGGTTCTTTTCAATTTCTTTCCTCTTTTCGACCATGGTCCATTCGTAATCTCCAAATTTGGTATCAAAGGTGCCCATTTGTAGAGACTGAAGTTTCAGGGTGAATCTAGGTCCAAGTTCCCTTAGAGCGCACCGCTCACCTGATTTAAACCAATATCTGAAAAAAAAAAAAAAATGGACAGGGTATCATTACTAGGAAAAATTGAAGTACTGATTGAAATCAATCCAGAGTGAGCTAATATATTACAGACTATTTCGATCAAGAATAATGCTTTTAAAAGGCTAAAAAATGGACAATACTTTAGTATTTCTATTGCTTTTGAAATTAGAATCCATTGAAAGTAACAAAAAATACTTGCTGTAAAAACTGGATCCTTAGGCATTGCTAACATCCTCTAAGTTGGAGTGCAAAGTATTAACATATCGACAGAGAGACTGCACAAATACGTATCCTGGTTTGTAACATTGCATATACTTTTTGTCATATTCTACTTTTTTAATGGAAAAATATTCAAGAAATGTTTTTGAAAACTTTTTCTATTTGTTTTCTCTCTATGAGACGAAAAATTAGTGAAAATTGTAACTACATGATATCATTGGTTTGTTTTTCTTTGCTAGTATAAGATAGGAGGAAAGATTTTCAAACACCACAAATGAATGCGATTTTTGTTTGAGTTTCACCATTGATAAAATACCCTCTGCATACTTTGCATGAATACTGACTTAGTATATAACGAGTCAGGGTGAATGAGCAACACTACCCAAACTCCCTCAGTTAAAAGAAAATGATTTTCGTATAATTACGATTTTTCTCACTTGCAGCCTCAATAGTTCTATAAAGAAAAAGATAAAAAAAGAAAAAAGAAACAAAAAAAACCCTACTTAAAAGTAATTTTTTCTAGCAGCAGCATTCAGCACAATCATTGAAAAAAGTTGAAGGATAAATTTTTCAGATAACTTACATGTGATGTCTGAAGAAGATGAAATCTCGCTGATTGTGGAACGTAACTACTCTTCTACCTTTGAATTCTGGGTCATAATGGAATATGGATGCCAACATGCGAGCAACACTATGCCCAAGGCGTGTGGTGAAATTGTTCAGTATGACTTCAGGGCGATGTTCTGTTATTAGCTTGTGATCTTTCTGTAAGAGGATGTAATAGAAATTAGAGGAACAAAAACAGTAGGTGCGTTCAAATTGCTGCCGGGAGAAAATCTATGGATTGAATTTACAGTTTTTTCATAGAAGAACAGTCTAAATAGAGCAGTGCTCACCACAAAAAATTTGGTAAATTATTGTTAAAATTAACTGATACGAAAGCCTTCAAATCTGGCAAAATTATCAAGGATCCAAAGAAATAGATGTATGTATATCAAACGAAGAAGAGCTGGACAGGCAGACACCATGTCCACGATCTACAGACTTTAATTAAAATGTTTTAAAATATTTTTTTTGTCTTTCATGTGAATACGGCACAACGCTGAAACACATGTCCAATTTGATACAATATCACAAAAACTTGGTTGAATTTCAATTATCTAATACCCCGTTTTCAAAAATTTACTGAATAAAGGAAACCAAACGGTAGATACATAGTAAGTTCAGTCACCATGAAACATAATAAGCTAATGATTATGGTACGAAAGATATTTTGAGTGAAGTTTCTTACCCTCATTTCTTTTGTCGTTCGAACATTGCTCAGTCGGAAATTAGCGGTCGGTCCATCAGGTAAATGAATCAAAAGGAGACCATCTGAATAAAAATTCAGTTAAGGAAGGCAACAGAAACGGACAAAATAATATAGTAATGAGCGTGCCACTTAAATCTCTGTGAAAATAGAAGTATCGGCTTGGCTGTTTCCCAAAAAATTTGTGAGCCCAAAAGTGGTCAAAAGATGGAAAGTGAATGAGTTCACAAATTTTCTAAAGATGAAATGTTATTAAGTTCAAAATTGTTTAAACAAAAACAAAAGCTTCATGAGCCTTCAACACATTAAAGACTCCTTGATATACCATACTTCTTTTGACACTTAAAGTTCCGACAGCATATCAAATATTATGCATATGCTTGCATAGATACTAAGTAATAAAAAGGAGAGAGAGAATAATAAATTTCAAAGTTTTACTTAAAAATCTTTGGACATTGATAAAACATTTTACATTCCCAGTCAGTAACTTCTTCTGGCAATTTAAAAAGTAATCTGCTCTAGACATACACTACTATTATGATTGGTCATATCGTTGGGATTGAACACCTAAATAGTTATTGAAATAAATTGAATCATTAATTGTTAGATTCTTAATATGTATAGGAAATCCTAAAACAAACCAACACTTCCATGGGCAAATTTTCGTCCTTTTTACGGCGCAGAAATTTTTAACCTTTTTTTGACAGAAAATTTTTGGGTAACACCAAAAATATTATTGTTTTAGAATGCAATGACCATCTTCATTAATTTCCACTTCCAAGAGTTTCGTAGTTTACCGACACTATATCTTGCCGTTTAGTAAACTGTCAGCCTTGGAGCAGATGCTAGATAACCTAAATTTTGTGGTTAATCTAAAATTTATTCGCCTTCAACTGAGTGGTTGTGATCAGTCTAGCAGTCAAAAAAGTGCTCATAGATCATGATTACTCTTTTCAGTGATAAAGGGTTCTTCGCTTCATCTTTATGATAATATTCATCTTTATCTAGAATACATGAGCTTTAGAAAGATGTTCTGAAAGAACAGATCAAAAAAACTGGGAATTTTTAAGAGAAAGCTTGCATCAATATTTTACCACTTTTGAGGTAAAATACAAGATTGGGATCAAGAATCTATCAAAGGGTAGAAAAATCTAGGACTTGACTACCCCTGAGACCATGCATCTGGGTCATTAGAAGGTCAGTGTGAAAAGGATACTCGGTTTTTGACTGTTCTCATTGATAACAACAATATCTGAGTATCCGTCATCTATGGCATGGGGGACGATTTTCTTCAGTTTGTCATCTCTCCTCTTATAGATGGTTGTGTTCGGTATCACTCGAGAGAGCTCTATCATGAATTTGCGTGTTTTCTGAAAAAAGCATAGAACAATAACAGATTAAAAAAATGATCGTGAGGAAACAACTGATTAATATTGATCTAATTCTTGAGGTAATAAGTATTTTTCAGAGTTGAATCTCATGGTTAAACGATTACTAATAAATTGAATAATTTTTAATTTGGAAATATTACTACTCATACAAGTAATAGTGTCAAATTAACATCTTCATTAAATTAATTTTTACATATTTTAAACATCAGATTTTGTTCATACTTTTGAAAATTTTTGGTCACGACTAACAATTTCCAAGAGGATCTTGAATGAAGAGCGTAACTTTTTGGCCACTATTAACAATTTCCAAGAAGATCTAGAATGAAGAGTTTGAGTGCAAAGCCTCAAAAATTTCAGGAAAGCAGCCCTTTATAAATCACGCTACTTAAGTACACTAAAAATCAATAAAATACTGCATACTCTGGATACTAAATTAGATGGATTGAGAGGGGATTATTATGTTAGGTTATACATTAAAAAAATTAAACACTAAAAAGTGGCCTGAAACTGTATTAACAAGGTGGAGAAATGGTGCTGGGTCCACACCATTTCGCGGGGAAACAAAGCCAAGAAATACCAAAAATTAAAATTAGAGTCAAAAATAAATTTTTAGAACTCTAATGCGCATGTATGAAACTGAGGGGGGAGAGTGTTCAGCTCAGGCAGTTTGCAATGGAATATTAAGTTGGAGTCACGCCGAGAGATCTTTACCGGTTTGGGCCTTATTAGACCTCATCAGAAGATCACACTCAGCAGTGAACCCAACTTAACATGCCGCAAAATCCAAGATGGCATTAAAATGCCGTCATGGATATGACCCGAGGCATGACACATAAGTGTGATCCTCGCGCCATCTACCGTCGCTGCTGAACAACTCTCATAACAGTTATGAGAGTTGTTCAGCAGCGACGGTAGATGGCGCGAGGATCACACTTATGTGTCATGCCTCGGGTCATATCCATGACGGCGTTTTAATGCCATCTTGGATTTTGCGGCATGTTAAGTTGGGTTCACTGCTGAGTGTGATCTTCTGATGAGGTCTAATAAGGCCCAAACCGGTAAAGATCTCTCGGCGTGACTCCAACTTAATATTCCATTGCAAACTGCCTGAGCTGAACACTCTCCCCCCTCAGTTTCATACTGGTGCGCATTAGAGTTCTAAAAATTTATTTTTGACTCTAATTTTAATTTTTGGTATTTCTTGGCTTTGTTTCCCCGCGAAATGGTGTGGACCCAGCACCATTTCTCCACCTTGTTATACATTAAGAGAGACGACATCTTGTAAAAAATTAAAAACTCACCATTGTGAGTTTAAGGTGACTGAAACAACACAATGGGGGCATTTCCTGTGCTGACTTAAAAGCATTCGTGAAATAGATTTCAACTATCTACTCTTGAAACTTATGGGCTACTTACCTTCTTTATATCTTTCGTACAAGATGTTAACAAAATTTTAGGTTCATATTCTTTGTTGAAGTAAGAACTAAATTCATCTGTTGCAATGTCCCTTTCGACTTCCTCGATGCGATCTTGCTCTGCTGTTTCTGGCTCTAAAATAGTTTCACTTTTCTTGCGCTGGTTTTCGATCGTCTTAGGTGTCTGACCAGGGTCACCTGTCTCTTTTCGAATTTTTCGTGCCTCTGACCTTGCCTAGGGATAAAAAAAAAATAAACAGAGAATTGGTGAGAAAATACTTGAAAATTCATAGGTACACTCCTGAGTAGCAGGTAGATTTTTGAGGATGGGAGTGAAATTAAAAAGGAAGGAAATAAATACCATCTGCAAAGGTTTCTTCTTCATCTTCTTCTTTTAAGTATGATTATTAAATCATTGATAATCAAAATAATACATAATCACCACTTAAAATATGAAAATCCGAACAAAAAGGTGGCAGCATTGGCGATGAGAGAAAAAGGAAAAAAAACTTTATGTAGATAAAACAATGGAGGAACGCTGCATAATGAAATGGACATGAAATTTTCGAGCATCAACCCCGAAACTTGCAGCTGACATACAGTGCTCCAGACCACTCCACCATCGTGGCGAATAAGGAGGAAACGCATAATTTGGTGCGTACTTGACAGACAACTATTCAAAAAATTTATTTGGAACTTCCAGAGCCCATTAGAAAAAACCACAAAAAGTAGGTCCTATAAATTCATTCGATGAAACTTAAGACTACCTTTTGATCAAAATGTACCCAACATGACCTGCTCCCGCAAAGGATAGATGTTTTCTGAGTCTATACAGTTACATCTAGAGCTCGCGCATCATATGTTGAGATAAATGTCAAAGTGTTGTTTATATCACCATTCATCAGTGTTCCCACCTGACTACATGTATCAACCTGTTGAGTGGTGCAAATTCAGGGCTAATCGGAGATTGACGTACTTATGTCTCAACATACGATGCGCAAGCTCTGGTTATGGGGCTGTAGGAGTCATACCATATGAGTTGGCCAACTTTCAAAGTGCCACAGGCAAACTTGTGTTCAGGTGCAGACATCATGTAAGATTTAAGATCTTCAGCAGATCTTCTGTCTCATTAAAGGATTGGGCCAACTTACTTGGCTTTGAGCCTGACCGACTGCATTCACCCCTGCATGATAAGTTAGCAATCATATATAATTCTAGCGACCTCTTCTCATCAAGCAAGGAGTAAAAAACTGGTGCTGAGAATCCATGCAGAGGAGTTCTAGGATTAGATTGGCTAAATAAAATATTGTGAATGAAATTGTAATTTGAGTATGTACCTTCTTCTTTTCTGAGACCTTCTTATGGACATCTCGACGTCTCTTGATGGCTTTGACACCGGTCATTGTGAGGTATAGGAGGAGATTCTACCGCGAACAGAAGAGAGAGAAAAAACCAAAAATCAGCACATAATATTGAGAGCAAACTTTGCAACTAAACTGTCTGTAAGCTTCTTGATTTGAACAAACAAGCTAATCTTCAGATCTTGACATGGGGAAAATGATGATGAGGAATTCTAACCTAAAAAAACAACGTGTTTATCTCAAACAGGGTGACCAACATGAAAATTAGGAGGAAACTGTTGTGGTTACTATATTAAAAATAAAATCGTTGAAAAATGACATACACTTTTTAAAATATCATTTAATAATTAGAAACGAGGTGAAAAAATTTCTGATATCGAACGAGGAATTTAAATGCAAAAAAATAGTGGATGTCCAATTCACTTCTAATGTAGTAATGTAGTATTTGTTATGTTGCATTCTTTTTGTAACTAGGTAGGCCCTCCATCGAATGTTGTTGTGGTTTGTGTGGCCGTAATATCTCACTTCAAACATGGTAAGCCGAGTTTATCCATTAATTTTTACTTAATCCTTTCACTAAAGTTCGAAATTCCTATTTTTATCAGATCCTGAATCTGCATTATTAACTTTATTATTATCTACGATGTCAAAATTCACTTGACGAAAGTTCCTCTCTCTCATGTGCGGGACGCCTCTCAACTCCACTGACATGGCACTAATCTCGCACATATTTTTAAATTAAGGCTCATGCTCATTGTATTTTGATCCTGAAATTTCTAGCCAGGCGTTGAGGCCGCTAATGTATCCAAAACTGATTATTTTAATCCTTCCTGCTAACGTACCATCCTGATTAGTGGGGATGTTACCATGGGCAATGTTTTTCTAACCTAAGTAGTTGCGAGGCTGCTTTGTATTAAAGATATTGCTACCTAAATTATTCAACGCTTATCACCATTATTTTGTTTTAACCCATTATATTTATGTCTGAACGTTTTCTCTACTGTTGCTACTCACTTTGATATGATCTAGTACCATGTACTCGCTGCTGCATTGTCATAGCACCAGAGATGAGCGCCACATGCGGCGCATTCTTGTTTCAAATCAGAAATACAAGTGAAACTAATTTTTTAATTCTAGTTAAGCTTGAAATCGTTTCGTATTCACTGAAATTTTGAATTGGACTCATCTCAGTTTTCATCCCTCTTCAGTGTGGATGTCGTTTTTAAAGTCTCAATCGCAGCTATTATTAAATTCATTCTCTTTGAAAAGTGAGGGAGCTATTAGAAAGGTTAATTCAAGACGGAAGAACTCTTTTCTCACCCCTTATCAGTGATCTTATGCAGGCACTTTTCTCGTCTTGAAATCCAATGTCCCACAAAACCAGCTTGAATTTGGGATGTCCACGCACGTCAACAAGCAAATCCTTTGTCAAAAGTTACAAAACTTACCAGCTGTAATCTTACTGTAGTTCCTCTCCAGAGTTCATTTCTGCAGGGAACACTTTTATCACTGTATTTTTGGCTTAACCTTCTGGGCTAACGTATACTTTTTCTTCCAGGCTAAAACAACAGGAAAGGCTAAGGGCAAGGCCAAGAAGCTGCCCATCAGGCCAGAAGGCTACCCAAAAATCATCAAGAAGAAGATGAGGAAATTTATCAGGCATCAAAGCGATCGATATGCCAAACTGAAGGTATGTTCCTCTAGATTTTCAACCGAAAGGTTTAAGAATAATGTGAGCACACAAGAAGAATTTGTAGACAGCACCTTTTCTGTAAATGCACATTTTGCACCGCAGTAAATTGAAATAACTACAATTTCTAGATAATTTCTCTTGTCTTCTATCTTTTCCTAAGTTCCCTGTGTGGACAGTTTTTTTATTATTTCGATGTGTCCTTACTTTTGGCCCTGTTTTAACCAACATCATGGTCCAAATTTCAGAAGTTGTGCTCAATTAATTTTCTGCATCATACAATTATTCTGGCCCTAGATTTTTACTCCGTCCATTGCAAAGATGCATCGCGTCTTAACTCTTATAACAATTTGCAAGGATCATTTAGCACTAAATGCGTACTTGTCAGAAAACTGATCATGATGGTGGATAAGAGGTGTGCGCTTTGTTGTTTGTCAGGATTAAGAAAGGGTAGCACACACCATCATATATTTTGAGTTTTTTGTTGTTTATTGAGGCTAGGATTATTCGTTTTTTTGGAATTATATCCTTGCTGAAGTATGATCTGTGTAGCAAAAAGCTGGACATTTTTAAAAAATTTCCTATGTAACGGCAAAGTTAAAGAAGAGTTTCAGTAAGTCTTGTCAAATGCGCTCATTTAATTTTTTAGCCTTCCGTAACAATCACTTTTTATCCTTGCTCTAGCTTCAATCAGCCTAGGACCCAGATGTAAGGGTCGAAGAATTTTAATTGGACGTATTTCTGTCAAACGGACCAAGCGCTAAATTGAGTTCCTTTTGAAGAATTTAGAATGTTGGATAGCGCATTCTGTCAAACGGAACTAAGCGCCATGGAAAAGCATTGCCAGTATAGGATGGAATGAGCCCGACGCCTGATTCTGCCGCCAATCTAAGCCCCCCTCTACCTTCCTCCTCCCATGGCGCTTAGTTCCGTTTGACAGAAATACGTCCAATTGAAGTCTTGATTCGACTCAGTTAAGTGTTATTAAGGTTTTTAAAATTTCCACTCAATTTTTACCTTTCACTCCATTGTCTAATCTGATTGTGCTCGTTTCAGCCCAACTGGAGAAAACCAAAAGGTATTGATAACAGAGTGCGTAGGAGGTTCAAGGGTCAACTTAGAATGCCATCTATTGGTTATGGTAGCGACAAGAGGACCAAACACATGTTGCCCAACCACTTCCGTAAAGTTGTCATTCACAACGTCAGGGTAAGTTTTCAATCATTACAATTTTCTGAATCTACCCAATACATCTAGTTTTATTAAAGTTGAAATTGTTACAGTTGACAATGACAAGCCTTATATCACAATTCAAGATAGAGTATTAGATGATGAATAATCGAACAATCAGCGAAGTAGTGGTTAGTAATCAAGCAATTGAAAATGTTTTCCTTTCTTTCTCCTTCATGTGAAAGAAGCAAATCTGTAAGTAATAGAATAATTTAGAACTTGACCAGCCAGAAACCAAAGTAAAGAACAAGTTAATTTTGTTAAAGGCTGCACAAAACAGAATATTAAATGAATGACTGGAATGTTTTGAAATATTACAATTGTCATCGTCAAGTGTTAAAATTTAAAGAGAAAAAAAGGGAAATTAATCTTCTACCCACTGTGATAGTGAGACTTAGGTCTTCTTTATGAAAATCACTTTAAAGTCAAATTAATGAAATTTCAAAATAATATTTCTTGTACTATCAACTTAAAAGAAGGTCTTGTGGAACGCTTGAAAATAGCTTGTGATGATTTTGACATTGACCTCTAATATAATTGCTATCAACCATCAGCCAAAATCACAGCATGCACTCGTCAAGTCCTCTAAATGAGAAAAGCAAGGGTGTTAGAAGTTCCAAGCGTTTCCCTAAATTCAATTGGTCACCCCCAATTCTGTCAACTTCCCCCCATTTTTAACCAAAATTGATGATCGCTTTCCCCTGAAGATAAAAATTATACCTATAAATCCAAAGTTTTTACTGCTCATATGGTGCAATTAGTGTGGGGCTCCCTCATTTTATCTGGAGGTACCTCTGTTATCTCCGGCACTTACAGGAGTTCTCTTATTCCATGTGCCTGGCATATGACTGTACCGGTTGTGTGGTCGGGAAGTTTCTATACCCTTGAAGAAAAAAAAGATGGGTGGAGCAAAGAACCGAATAGTCGGTTGAGGGGTTGCAAACAATTGCAAGTCATCATGAGTGAGTTTTCACATAAGAAAGACAAAAAATGGAAAGAACATAATTGCTCTCTCAAAAGAATATTTGTCGCTTGAAGTGAAAGAGGCATTCTGTGTAGTAGGATTAGGTGATTAGAATGTAATGAACTACTGCTTTCCCCCTGAATAAGAAGTATTAGCACATAATTTCAGCTTTGTGTGACTTGTTTCTTTTTTTGTCTAGATTATCTTAGTCATTATTCTTTCAATTACTAATGATGTATTATGATTGTTGCAGGACTTGACAATGCTTCTCATGCAGAACAGGAAATACTGCGCTGAAGTTGCACACAACGTATCCGCCAAGAAAAGGAAACAAATTGTCGAGCGCGCTCACCAGTTATCAGTTAAGGTTCTCAACAAAAATGCTAGGTTAAGGAGTGAGGAAAATGAATAAATCTAAGTTGTTTTTATCAATAAAATTTCTTTTTTATTTTTATTAGTTTCCATTCAGTTCCTTCCTTGAAAGAAAGAAGCATTTCTTACTGCTGGGATGTTGAGAACTGGCCTCTTTGCCATTAGAAATATTCATCTTGAAGTCATTAGGGTCTAGTTATATTACCTCCGGTTCAGATTTATCCTCTTAACATTCAACACACTTTGAGAACCTGTTAAATGTTAATTGACAGTTCAAATTTTGTAGTTTTTCTAACTGTCTCTGTCCTGTCACAGTTGAAAATATGTATCATTCAAACTGTGAAATCTAAGTTCTAAAATCTGCCAACAAAAGCATTTGAAGTTATTTTTTGCAAAGAAAATACATGTTCAAGAACTGGTAGTACTGGATCTAAACAGGACTTGACGCTGATTAATTTTTGAACCTGTAGTTCACACATTATCACAGAAGCATTCATTGTGAGGTTGAACAATAGATTTCCTAATCCAACAATTAAAGTAAATTAAGAAAGTTGAAACTGAAAAACTTAAACTCACAAAATTAATTTTAAATTGCCAATGCGTTTCAGGGTTCCCCGGCCCCTTCTTCAAGGTTTCTTCTAATAATTAAATTCTGGTTCTGTACTGAAAGTTAAAGAACGGTATCTTTTCAATTGAAAGGTATCACAGGTTAAGGAGAGAGGTGACCATGAAGAAAAAAAAAAAAAAACAGTGTTAGTCATTTTAGTATAACCCCACTGGGAGCGTGCTTTATGGACCTACACCTGCGGAGCTCATAGTTTCATTAAATGTTTCAATGTCAATAGCAATTTTTCAACTTGGAACACGTATTTCTTCAAATCACAGGAAAGTCATCTAGTCCCTTCGCCTGTGAAATCCTTTCATCATCAAAGTCATTACCTCTTTTTATTTTCCTGTTTGCTTACTTGGTGGCCTTGCTATTCCACCTATCACCTTTAAAGTGTGCCACTCTTGCAAAGTGCAAAAAAATAACTGACAAAAGAGCAATGCATGCCCTGTGGGTGGAACCATTGAGTACATCTAATAATGTAGCTTTTCAAATCAGCCTCAAAGAAGAGCCAAATGAAGTCAAACGAGAGTTAGCCTGTTTTTTTTTTTTTTTTTTTTTTTTTTTTTTTTTTTAGTGAGGAATAAAGTAGAACAGGTGAAAACGTTTTTTTAAAATTGAATCAGTTCCATAATATTTATTATTTAGTATATTTATATATTATTGTAAGTACAAGATTGAAAAACATCCAAAAGTTCGGGAAAAAGTACAGGTTTAACAGATACGAAAGATGCATGTAACATTCTGGGAATCCACAACCACCTTCTCAGCTGCTGTAAAACAAGGCTCCGTAAGGCCCTCTGTCTTCAAGGGCAGGGTCTTAATCTCGTAAATTTTACGATAACATCTGGAGGATGAGTCTTGTTCTCCTCTGCATTGTAGATTCTGAAATGTGAAATGAGGGGCTTGGAGGTCAAGGCGCATTAAGTGCAGTTTTTAAAAAACTTGAGATATTCATGAACTCAACGGAAACTAGTTTGAAAATATATTCTGTGAAGAATTCAGGACTAAATTTTAACCTTAAAGCATCAATAAGCGAGTTTAAACTTACTTTCTACTATAAAGTTTCTTGTAATTTTGAAACTTAAAACCCAAAATTCTTGAAATAGTCAAAACTGCACTTATGGGTTGTCCCTCAAATGATCTACATTTCGTAATAGGGAACTGTTATTTCTGGCTCATTTCTAAAAGCATCCATAGAAATTAATTGCATAGGCGATGTTCTTAAAATGAGCCAGAAATAGTAGTTCCCATGTTGCAAAATGTAATCTAAATAGTATTGTCCCTTAGTAATGCATGAACTCATCACTCAGGTAGAAGCGAGCACACGAGTGTGTGAAGAAAATATCCATTATCGGTACGTATTTTCTGGAGCCTTTCAATTATTTTTGTGAGACCAGGAAAAAATTGTCAGAAGTTCCGAAAAATGTTTCAAGTTCTTCTTTGAAAAATATTGGAGCTGCCAGAAAAGGCACTTTTTTTTATTTTTCGAAAAGCCCTCTCCAACTTCGTTTTTCAAACGTCTTTCCACAGATGACCCACGCCATGGTTCACAGGTAACAAGGAAATTTTTGAGTTGCAGCTCTGAAACAAGCTATCACAAAAATAACACAGTGTTAGGCCAAAGATCCATTTGTCTGAGGGGTAGAGCATCCCCTTGTTCGGAAGTTCTCTCTAACTTGATTACCTACCACAGGATTTGTCAATCCTCCTTTTTATGAACGAATGCGAGGGCCGCCCTCTGGCAAGTTTCTATTAACGCAACAGAGGATGGAGTTCAGTTTTATCCGTGACTCAACATTATTCAAGATTATAGGTCTACCCAGGCAATTTTTCCACAATAATGAAAGACGAAATGTTGTATGAAGTGCTGGGGGAGCTACTTGCTACTTCTCTTACTTTTTTGAACAGAATTATAGTTCTGTGACAAAGCATCACTGGAAAACCTATCTGCACTCAGTGGATCCTGAATTACATGTAAAGTGAAGAACAACTACCGTTGGACTTTGGAACTATAAATTCTAGCCCGGTTTAAAAAGAACGTATGTGCCATTAGATTCCCTATGCACATAAGTGTTTTCAAAAGAGCCAGGATTCATAGCTCCAAACTACAAAATGCAGTCCAGTTGTTGGAACAAAATGCAATTGTATTTCGACATTATTTTGTGCTTACTCTGTCATCTCGTCGAATCTCAAAAACAACTTCCTAATGAACTGGTGGTTCATCATCATGGGATCAAAGATGAAACAGTTTTGATGGCCATAAACTTCCTATTCTTCAAAATGTTTTAAAAATGTTCTGTATTTTTTTATCTTCGTTTGTTTATTATGGTTACGAAGCAGAATAGAATCTGAATGGTGCGATTCTCTTGATGGATAATCATCAGACTACACTTACACATGAGAGATTTCCCTCGAGAATAGACTTTTTTAGTGGCGTTAGCCACATTTTTAGACAATCGCAACAAAAAGTCCGTCAAATCGTATTTTGCCGCCAAAATCGGTCAAGTTGAAAAACCGTTGAAAGCCGAAAATCGGCGGCACCAATTTGAGGTTAGGTTCTGATGTGTAAACATACACACGTGTTATCACTCAATGTTATCAATCACAGTTAGTAATCCAATTTTTTAAGTTGACAGTGTGAAATTTCTCCTGACATTCACTCAGTAACTTCAACTTTACCTCCTCTTTAATTTTCATTAATTATTTTCCTGCCACTCTCCAAAGAGATTTCCCATTTCTTAATCAAAGCGTATACTGTAAAGGAACTAAGCTGAAATTTTTTACCTGTCGTTGAAAAGGTTGTGTACCTATTTCAAGGTTTGCTCTTTGCTCTCAAATAAACAGTAGCCCATATTTAAAGTCTTTATCATCAATTCAGGATGGCCTCTTGTACCTCCAGTATCCCCAGCGGTGAACGTGAAGTCTCAGAATGTTCTAGTGCAACAGGCAGAGCGGGAAAAGAGCTCAAAGTAAATATCGAATTCATGTGAGTGTTTTGTCCCTCATTGTGGTTATTTTACTTTAACTTCAACTGATACCTAAACAAATCCTCCAAAAATTAATTTTGCTGTGATACTAACTACTCACGTATGTTGACTGTGTAACTTGAGAGGTGCGCTGCCGAAGTCGACTGACATGGCATTTGGAAAGCAGTTCTAATCTATGTGATCAGCTCTAAGTCTAATCCTGTTCTTTTTGAATTAACTGTTTGAGTCTCTATATGAAGAGAATACCTGTCGTCGAAGCTTTATTCAATGTGCTTTTAAGAGAGCAATGGGTTCGTTAGTTAATGGTACACAATTGGTCAACCGAGCGTTGCATCATACAGTCAGTCACTTACTAGCATCCAAGTCGTATAAGTTTACAGACTTTATGAATGCTACGGAGGATCTTCTATCTTCACTGTAGCTTTGTAACCAAGTGTGTACACTAATTATGATGGTTAAACCTCTGTTTCATGCCTGCAGTGTGTAAACTTACTTTTGGGGAGCCCTCTTCAAAATGAAGAGGGAAGCCTAACCTCAGCGAATAATTTTAATGCTGTGTACGTGTACTTTAATCCTCCATATTCTTGTGGCTGAGAGTTATGTGAGAAAACCCATTAGCCTCGATTCTTAAAAACAGCATTTGGAATGAATCTCCTAATTTTCTAGCTGTGGTTAGTGATGAAGTTTATATTAAGTAAGTAACCTATGAAAGTTTCATCAAAATTTAGGTGTAGGTGCAGGGAGCTTGTAAGCTCCTACCAGATGGGTATGGTTCTCTGGAGTTCCTGTATTGAGCCATCTGTGTTTTAACGTGAAACATATTGTTTTAAAGCAAATAGGATCTCTATCTTCACTGTAGCTTTGAACCAAGTGTATAGGTACACTAATTGCAGTGGTAAAATCTGTGTTTTGTACCTTTAGTGTGTAAACTTATTTTTGAAGAGCCCTCTTCAAATCGAAGAGGGAAGCCTAACTTCAACGTTAGCATTGAAAGAATTTTGTTTCATTTTAATTTTTGCTTTGACCAACAGGGGTGGTGCTGAAATGATGTTTGATAATCAGAAGAAGCTGAATGTCACTCTACCACCTGCTGAATGCAAATGTAAGATTTTTCTCCCAGCTTTAAGTACGAGGCCAATTTTTTTCCTAATCCATGTAACATTTAAAGAAACAGTGCCTTTGATTAAGCAATTTAGCGATGAACCTACTAAAATAATAGACCCTTTTCTCAGGCAAATTTACCCTTTTCACTCGCCTGCACATTTAATCAACAGTTCGGGATCTACTCAGAGAGCTGAAAATTGTAAGCTCATCAGAAACAGAAGCTATCTTGGTTTGCAAGTTCTTTTCTCATCTTACTGTTTGAATACTTTTGATTATTTTACTTTTTGTCATGTACAACAGATGAAAAAAAAAAAAAATAAAATATTTCGTGTGATTTCTCTCGGCCTTCTCAAAAATATGTCTGGGGTTTCATGCCAAAATCTGCAGTAATGTTCTCCAAAAAGAATCAAATTTACTCAATTGGAAATGTAGAAATGCCATTAAGATCAATCCATACCTACAGGTCAATCATTCCCATGAATGAGTTTTGAGACCCTATTGAAAGAAATGGACTATGACTGAAAATAGTTTATTTTTTTATTAAAAAAGCAGTATTAAATTTTCAACCATTTTTACCCTTCTATCAATCTTTTTAATTGGTTTCATGGCTTTTTCTTTCTTCAGGGACAATCCGAAGTTTGCTTGCTTACATGAAGGAGCACTGTGCCAAAGGTGGAGGTCTGGAAAGGTTTTTTACCGGCGATTCTGTGTAAGTTTTTTACGTTCATCTCTGCAGGAATGTCTTCACTGTACCTATTCAGCTTTTTAAAGATGCTGCCCCCCCTTTCCTCACCAGTAACAGGAGGAAA